ACTAAACCAAAACAGTAACCTTCACCTTTTAAATATTATCATATTGTGAGTGTATCAGGTATTCTCAACATACCGTCACAACAAAGAAAGACAGGACAGGACAAACACCTGCAGGAAGAAATAAAGAGCCAAAAAGAACAGTTTCCAACTTGCCTTTTCACAGCATCTGTGTTTTTCCTTTCCTTTTCCTCTTTCAGTTTTGCCGATTTATACTTCATTCCAGACTTCTGAACAATCATCTTGATGTGGTCTTCATACAAGATGGAATCTGGTTCTAGCGAATCCAGGTCAATGTCTGTGTACAGCAGGGCCTCGTAAATATGGTCTGTGGGGCAGGTAAAGGCATTTAACAAGGACATCCACAAAAACATGTGGGACAAAAAACCCAAACCCAATCCAGACAGTGTAAGGTTTTGTCATTAGTGGTTTATGTTGTGCTATTAAGTTTCATTCACAAAGCACTTTTCCTTTAGCCAGATTTATCTAAAAGTTCCTGTTACACCACACACTTGCAGAGAAGAACTTGATGCTGAAGGATTTCCAGAACCTGAGTGCCTTATCAAATACTAGAATCTTATTTTTCCCTCAGATTTTCACACCTTATTTTAACGTTTAACCCCACAAAAAGAAAGCAACAGAAACTCATCTAAACCAAACAGCAAAGGAGTGATTCAAGGAGGAAGGAAATTTGGTGATTCAGAGCCTTTGCTGCTTTCTTTGGTGGCAGAAACACAGAACCCATTGCAGTGGTGAGAATTTGTTACATGCTGACCTAGGGACCGTCACAAATCTACCTCAGAAAGGTATATCAAGACATGACAGACTCTTCTGCTTCTCACTGATGAGTGGAAAATCTGGCAGAAAAAGTCTACCAACAGCTCCCTTGGGATGGAACAACCTCCCTGGCCAAGGGAGGGATCAACAACCAGTAACCAACCCCACTGAGGACACCTTGGCCTTTCCCACTCCTGCAAGAGGTGGGACAGCTCGTGCTGCTCCAGACCAGAGCAGCCTCTCACCTATGTCTTTGCCCATGGCTCGTGCCAGTTCCTCAATAGTCATCTTCTGCCTTATCTCCACTTCACCTCTCGTCAGCGGGATCTTCTTTTTCTGCTTTTTTCTCTCCTACATGGAATTAGACACGTACATAGGAACACAGAGCTGCCATAAACCGGGGAATGACAAAAACAATATTAAAGAGACAGCGGTCTCAAGCCATAGGAAGCAAACACATCCTTTTTTTCACTACAACACCAATGAATTTAAATAAATGAATGGCTTTACACATCATAACGGACATTTAAAATGTATAGCACACAGCACACTCTTTTTTCATTTCTTATTTTTCAGATTAAGGGCAAAAAAGGCAACAAAATAATTTTAAGGTTTGTTTTTTAATAATTTCTCTGCAAAATTCACAATGCTACTGGTCTAAGTCACTATTCCAGAGGGAATCACAACAAAGTCACACATTAAGTACATTTTGTCTGATAAATTTATAACATATTCTCTATATTCACGAATAAAGCTCTTTAGCTTTAATGTAAAAGTTCAGGCTGAGCTCTTGCCCTTCCCACACCAAAGCAGCGCCTCCTGGGCTGTGGGAGTTACCTCCTTTGTGGCCAGATGTCTGCAGTGTGCCGAGGCAGCCCCGATGGCTCTGTGTCTGTGCCAGGGCTGCAGGCGCAGCAGGACGGGGCGCAGGGGGTGTGCAGGGGCCTGCACAGCCGTCCAGGGTGCCCCCCAAAGCCTCCTGCAGGACAGGGCCCGGAGCTGCCTGCAGGCACCACGGAGCTGCAGCAGGCTCTCCAGCCTCAGCACCAGCCCTCGGTTCATCTCCTCACTGCAAACACAAAGGGCACACTGAGACTCGCAGCTGGAACACACCCTCCCTCGGCACAAAACACACAGGAACACAAGGCACAAATGTTATGTGTCCAACAGGCTTCTTAACACTTAAAAGAGTGAACCATTTAGCAACTGTTCCAGTTTTTCCATTTCCTTCAGCACTGCCTCTTTCTCCACACAGATCTGCTAAGAGCTTACAGATGTTTCTCCACTGATCCCTGATATAAATTACTAAACCCTCCATTTTGGGTTCTTTCACATCTGCTAGAAGAAAAGGGACATTTGCACTCCCTGTGCTACCCTGTCAGAATTACACAGGTGCAACCTACCTCTCTGAAACACACCTGCAAAATGCTCTTTCCCTGAGCATTTAAAGAGAGAAGTACCACTCTGAGAAGCACCACTCCGAGAGCACAGCACTGCAGTAACACCAGAGCTGTCATGTGCACAGAGATATTCCCTGAGGCTAAACCCTGGCTCAGCAACTAGGCTTCCCAGGGTTCTTCTGTCAGATCATCCCACATCTTGTTTTAACCATCTTAGCTTTGGTTTGAGCCATTTCGCTAATCATCCCATACAACAATGTCCTCCTCTGAACTTCTCCTGTTGCTCAGAGCTGCCAGTTCTGCACTGGCACAGGTTGCCCAGAGAAGCTGTGGCTGTGCCATCCCTGCAAGTGCCCAAGGCCAGCTTGGACGGGGCTTGGAGCAACCTGGGCTGGTGGAAGGTGAGGCAGGGAATGCTCTGGGCTTCTCCCAGAAAGGCTGCGAGGCCTTCAAAACCTCCCTTGCACCCGCACACCTGCGGGAAGTGACCCGCCGACAAACCAACCAACCACAACCAGCTACTTCGGGGTTATTTTGCTCCATTAAAGGGGCTGAACGTGCAAACCCGAGGAGTCCCGGAGCTGCCACAAGACGCTGCCCACACACCCAACCAACACCGGCCCAGCCCACATCGGCGAGGCCCCGGCCAGGCTCTGCCCCTGGAAAGCCCCTCCCGCCCACCGGCCCGGCTAATCCATACCTGTCAGCCGCAGCCCGCCCTCCCCGCCGTGCCAGCGCCCCTCTCCGAGCGCCCGGCTCGCCCACCCCGGCCCTGACAGCACCGCCGAGGGAAGGAGGGAGGGGAGGGACTGAGGGGAGATGGGGCACTGAGGGGAGATGGGGCACTGAGGGGAGAGCGGGCACTGAGGACGCCCCTCAGCCCTCACCCGGCTCGTCCCCCTCACGGCCGGCCCGCCGCTCTCCGCGCACGCGCCGGGGGGCACCGCGCACGCGCCCGAACAGCCGGGGGCGGGAATTCCCCTCACGGGACACGGGACGGGGAGCCCTGAGGGGGCCGGAATTCTCCTCACGGGACACGGGACGGGGAGCCCTGAGGGAGCGGGAATTCTCCTCACGGGACACGGGACAGGGAGCCCTGAGGGATTGGGGAATTCTCCTCCCGGGACACGGGACAGGGAGCCCTGAGGGGGGCGGGAATTCTCCTCCCGGCACACGGGCTTTCTGTGCTCATCCCACAGTGTCGGAATTTGCTTTTTAAACGTATAGATGAGTAGTAGAAATACATATATATACACACACGGATAGAAACAAAATTCGGTTTCCTCCTGCCAGGAGCTAGTAGGTTTTTTAGATCGCCAGTCTAAAGCTTTCGACACGGCTGATTTTTCAGCCCCGTCTAATTTGGTGTCTTTAAATTAACGCCTCTTAATGGGCCGGGGAAAACAAAAATCCAAGAGGAAGGTCTATAAATGAGAAATCCTCGATGTTCCCTGGTTAATGAGTGCGGTAAGAGCCGCAGATAATCCCAAAGGTCCGCTCGGGACAGCGCTGCAATCAATCCCTGTCCAGACACTGGAAACTGCGTGTCGTGGCCAGAAATTCCCTTAATACATTTGAGCTGTGCATTTTACACGCTTTGCCCATAATGCGGGGCCTGGGGTAGTTCACACTGGTAGTTTTATACCCTCCAGAGCAGCACCTATGTGTTCTGCTGCCCTCAGTACCTCTACTACAAGTGTTTGCTCATTTATGATGCTAAATGCTGAAAAAAAGAGTGTTTTGAATTTTTAAGGCAGCACCTGTTGACGAATGCACCAGGTACTGACACCTTGAATTGCACAGGGCCCTCGAGTGTTTCTCCACAGGTAAAATCACCTTGAAAACAAACCACAGTACAAAAAAAAAAGCTTAAATATCAAAGTCGTGCAAAGGCATTAAAAGCAATTCCTGCACAAGGCCAGCACGGAGCTGCCAACCATGCCCCTGCTGAGGGCAACACGTCCTGGGACTGCCTGGGATTGACCTAAAAGAACGTTTTATTGGAAAGATAAAATTTAGCGTGCGAAACAGCCATCAGAGTTTACAGCAAATCTGCTTTTTGAGTTGATCTTCCGTTGGACACCGCCTGGAAATCTTCCCGTGCGCCTCTGTAAGGCTCTGGGAATTAGCGTGGGATCATATTTTACCCACATGTCTCTTAACCACAGAGTCATCCTGTTTTCATTTAAAGCTTTATTACAGATTGCCCGTTTTTCTAAAGGGCAAACTGAAAACAAATAATTATTGATGTCATAGGTCGGGATGTTGGTTTGGGGTGGGTTGCAGAAATATTTTCTGCTGAACTCTGTGGCTGTTAACGCTTGGCTTTGTCCCTTAGTTGCAATTCCTGATTATTATTAGTTGCCTTTAAAAAATTTTTAAAAAATTCAGGTGTCTTATGGAGTTTACCTTACTTTGATTCTTTTTTTTAGCTTTCAGTTTTTCTTAACTTCCTTATTTAGCAGCAACTTTTTCAGCACAATATATGAGCAACGAGCCAGAACCTGAAATTACACTAAGGGCATGTAGATAAAAATGAAGAGGTTAATTTAATCTGAAAGATCTGGCTTGAAGCCGACATTAAATACAGTTCACAGTGATGTGTGCCGGAGCAGTGTGTACTCCTGGAGCAGGAGGTGGTTTTAGGAGACACGACCTACCTTGAGCTGTGCGGGACGGGAGGTGCGGGTGCGATGGGGAGCTCTGTGCCCCGTGCAGGTGGCAGGAGGCTGAACCCGGGGGTCGTTCCTGAGTGATGTTAGCTCGGATTTGTGGCATTCCCCCGCTCCCCGCTGCTGGGCGGGCTCCTGCGGCGGAAGGGGCGGCGGGAGGCGATGGCGGCGCGGCCGGAGCTGCGGGAGGAGCTGGAGCGGCGGCTGCGGGACCTGGGCATCGCCACCGTCACGGCAGAGCACCCCCAGGTACGGCACAGCCCCGGGGAAAGCGGGAGGGGAGCCTGCCTGCCGCCCGGCCACGGCGGAGCGGCCCGGGGCGAGCCCTGGGCGGGCTATGCAGCGGAATTATCAATGGGGAACTTCCAACGCGGGGCCTGGCAGAGCGTTCTGGGGGGTTGTTCTGGGATCGCTTTTGCCTCCAGATTCCCCCTTTCCCCCTCCAGTTCCTCAGCAGTTTGAGGAGCTACAATCCACCCCCTCTCCTTCCCCTGACACCCACAGTAGCCAAGCTGCTTTCCAAACTTCTCCTCGCTCCCTCGCCACGTCATTGCCGTGTGTGTGCAATGGGGCTGCAAACAGCACTCCCAGAGCTGCCTTGCAGTGACATATTGCTGTATGGCAACACAGAAATTATCCAGCAGCAGTCTGTCACATCTCATCCGTGCTCTGTTCAGATTTCCTCATAAAAGGGGGGGAAAAAGCTTTTAGGCCAAATGGAACATTGGTATTTTCAAAGTGTTTAACAGAAGGTACCTGCCAGGACACAGCTGGGAGTCTAATGGGATACAGAGTCCCACACCACACTGGTGCTGTTTTCCAGGTGTTCACTGTGGAGGAAATGATGCCCCACGTCCAGCACATGAAAGGAGGCCACAGTAAAAACCTGTTTCTTAAAGACAAAAAGAAGAAAGGGTTCTGGCTGGTGACCGTCCTGCACAACAGGCAGGTCAATTTGAACGATCTGGCTAAAAAACTGGGCCTTGGCAGTGGGAACCTCAGGTTTGCTGATGAGAACTCCATGCTGGAGAAGCTCCAGGTGGGCCAGGGCTGTGCCACGCCACTCGCCCTCTTCTGTGACCAGGGGGACGTGAGGCTGGTGCTGGACTCCGCCCTGCTGGAAGGGGGCCACGAAAAGGTGTATTTTCACCCAATGACAAATTCTGCAACCATGGGATTAAGCCCTGAGGACTTCTTGAAGTTTGTGAGATCAACAGGCCACGACCCCATCATCCTACACTTCGATGAAGATGTTAACTAGAGGAAGTTCACTTTTCTACTGCTAGACATAGATTTGGTAAACTGGTGAAAATCTTGTTACAAATAAAACTTGAAAAAAAGACTTATTCCTTTTTCATATTTTTTTTCAATTGTGTAAATTTATAATGGACAATCTCGTGAGAAAAAATACCATCACTGAGTTATTAGAAGTTCAGCAATGTTCTTAAAAAGACCTTTGCAGTCTGTATGCACTAAGTATAAACTTTAGTATAAATTAACTCATGTTTGCACTAGGTAACTATTAAGTATAAAAGGCATTATTTAAATAACTTTATAATCTTTGTTAATGAAACAGATAAAACTGGAACGTCCCAGGTGTGGGACTGGCCTTGAAGGTTTGAACTTAACATGAAGAGAGGGGAGCAGTGAAGGTGAGGGATGGAACCTGAAGGTGATGGGGGGTGAAGGCTTTTGAGTGCAGCCTAATGAAAACGTCACACAAACGCTGGCTCTGGGGCAGCCAAGAGCATCAGCAGCAGCTGAGGTGAGCAGAAACCAACCCCCAGGAGTGCAGATTAAAACACATCCAAGGAGCTGTGATCTTGGAAGAATGAACAGTTACTATTATCTGAGTAAGAAGAAGTGTCTTCTGTGGCAAGGCAGGTTTCTCCCCCTCCTCCTTACCGTGGTCTCCTGCATTTTGGAAGGATCTGGCACCTGTTCTCAGAGCTCCTGGTGACAGAACACTCACCATCCAGCAGGTCAGAGTCCTCCCTCCACCTGGTCAGACACCAACCAACCCCAGCTATCAGAGGAGTCATCTCAGTGGGACAGAAGGGACCTAAAAACGCTGCAGCTGGAGGAAGAGTCACTAGAAAGATGTCCAGTAACATTTATCTTACCCTCTGCCTGCTACTACTCTCCCTCCCACTAAAGGTTTTTCTCTTTCTTCTACCCCAAAATCCCTTTTCCCTTATTAAAAAATGAGGATTAGACTTGACTTGTCAGGGGTTTTAAATCTACAGTATTTTAAATGGGACAAATTGATTTAAAGGCATGTGCACAATCCTAGAACCTGCACTGCCTGAAGTGTAACTGTTTTTGTCCTCAGGGGGATCCTGAGACTTGACAGAAATAACCCCCAAGCAAAACTAAAGCTTCAAATACTACACTTGTCAAATCTATAATGATTTCCTTTTGTCTTTACTTACGAAATTAGTGTTGTTTTCTTTGGTGTTTTTTTTTTTTTTTAATAAAAGTATCAAAATAGTGTACAGTTTAAAGCTACCCAGGTCTACACAAATCCCACAGAACAAACTACACACGGTCCAGAAAAATTCTGCTACAGTTTTATCAGTTTTTTCCTTCCAGAAGAAATACTCACTGCACACATCACCGACTGACCACGACACCAACACCCTGCCAGTAACATCAGTTTCCAGAGAAAGTGTGTATGAACATACACACAACAAAATAAGAATAAAAATTATTTGGTTTGGCATTTTAATAACATCATTAATAAATGTATACAATGGCGAACATTAAAAAAAAATCAATATGTAAAGGAAATTACAGTTTTAAATAAGAGCTTTTTAAGTTCTGTTTCACACCTAGGTACATTCCTTTAAGGCAGTTTTATTAATATCAAAGCATTATTTACATATACATCATCAGCTATCTCTAAAAAATAAAAAATAAAAAACCAAATGACACATGAGCTCCTTTGTTAGGCTGCATCATGTCCTGGAAAAAGTTTAGAAACAATAACAACACGTGTTGGGAATGTTACTAAATCCTCGCAGAGTATCAGAAAAGCAAATCAAACATAGAATGGTGTAGCACAACAACCTCCTTCCTACCCTGGGCCTGGCAGCTCCGGGGGGACAAAGCTGGGCGTCCAACGGCTGCTTCCCTGAGACTCCCTGCTCCAGCAACTCACAGGTGGCTCCCACGTTTGCTTCTCTACCTTATTTCAAGGGCACAGACTGGGAAGAGAAAGCCAGCGGGAATCGGCAGATCCCAGCCCCTCCTGACTGCTGCACTGTCCTGAAGCTCCTCTGCAAAACAAAGCGCTGGGAGAGCAGCAGATTGAAGCCCTGAAGTGCTCCTGTGCCTCTGCTGATGCTTTGGGCTCATTTGGCAAATACCACCCAACATCCCACTCCGGCCTTTGCGCCGACAAAGGGGGTCCAAACCCGCTTAGGATGGCACAGAGGGGCCCTTGCAGCACTCGGGCACCCAGAGCTGGCCCGCCAGGGAGAATCCTGCCCCCCAAATCCCCTCCAAGGAACACCCAGGGAGGCTTTGGGATGGGGCTCATTTCTAGGCCAAGGGGTGAGTTAAACAGTAGCTGGAAAGTTTGTGACAGGCCCCGGCTGGGACCCCACAGAGGCTCTGAGAAGGTGTAACACTGTGCAAAAAGCAAAGTGTGGAAGCTGTGAGGGGTAACCTTGGACAAGCTGAGGCCTCCAGAGCTGAGTTGATCCATGGGGGATCCCTGTGTGATGGAAACAGTAACACTGTTAAATGGTTTGGGGGTTTGAACTGCGTCAGTCCTCTGCTGCCAGTGAGGTGAACCCAGTCACAGGCCCTGAAAGGAGCTTGAACACACTGTCCTTTAGAATTAAAGAGCTATTTTCCTAATATTTATGGTCTTTGAATTCTCTTTCGTACCCACCACGCCTTTAATGTAGATCCTTTAGCCCATTTTAGCATAAAAAAATAATTCAGAAGGAAGTCCCTTTAAAGCAAAAAAAAGCAAACCAAATGTCCCCTTCTGAAGCTTATTGAACTGGCCTCTTTTTTCCCCCTTTTTGACAGGATTTCATGCTTTTGGAGCTGCTGAACTGCACTCAGCAGAGTCAGGCTCACCGTCGCTGAGGGAATGGGGTGACCTTCTGCACCTGCCTGTTGGACACTCGGAGGTGACACAGGGAATGTAACACCAGGAACAGGAATGTGCTTATTGGTTGGAATAACATGTAACAACTCTGAATCCAAGCTCCTCTCCATTTCCTCTGAGCAAATCTTCCCAGACACAAACGTATGCAACCACCCAACGTACCAAGAACATCTGTCAACTTTAATATAAACCAATAACGAACAAAACAGATCTAGTAAAAGATAACCTTCAAGGGAACTGATTGTAAAATGCATATGATATTATTTACATTTCTTTTTTGCCATCAAGAAACCTCCTAAGCCACAATCAGCTCATGTCAAGAGACAAACAGTAAAAAAAAAAGAATTAGTCGATACACAAAACATCGTCAGACAGTCGTAACCCGGAAACGGCATTTGTGGAAAACAGCCTCAATATTAAAATAAACGTGGTAGAAAACTCAGACCTGACAACCTCCTGCCAGAAACATCCAAACATACAAACGCAGAGTAACTCGGGAAGGTGGAAAACACAAAGGACAAACAGTTTCTCTATAACACCATTATCCCATGACTCCCACTTCTGTTAGCTCCCCAGCTTTCCCATGGATGTAAACAGATTTTTTTCTCTTGCAGTATGCAACAAAAGTCAGCATAAACTTTTTTTTTTTTAAGAGCAATTTCATGCAGATTATGCAAACCAAATAAGGCAGTGAAGTGCCAGTAGCTGTGAGGTTTTTGTATCTGTATATACAGTCCATTTCAACAAAATACTACAGCATTTTCCTTTAGATTTACAGTCGTAAAGAGAAACTGCCAGTTATGGGGGTTTTTGGCTAATTATTAGCAGAAGCTTAAGCAAATCAGTGGCTAATTTCAAAAACAGAAGATGAAAGAAGCATTTTTATTTTTTTTTAAAATTTTTTTTTTCCCTGGAGTAATTCTTGAGAGACCTTAAAATCCTCGGTCCTTAGGGAGATGAGAACTGTCCTTTATTCAGTAGATCTTAACAGTGCAATGTGCAATAATTCCTAAGCCCATCTACACATTTTCGGCAGTAGACTCCAGTAGAGCTCCTTGATTCAAGGAAGGAAGGAAGGTAGGTAGGTTTTTATGTCTCGCCTGCTCTAGTCACGAAGAATGTACAAAATTCCCTCAATTTTTTTTTTGTTTCTATTAGTGACTCCTACAGTCGCTGTCTTGTTACTTCAGATATAAAGGCTTCACACTGAGATACTGAAGGACACTTTTTCTCTCTGTGTGCGGTCGAAAGGCAGAAGAAAGAGAAAAGAACGTGAGAAAAGCGGCAGGTGCAGAGGCACAACACAGAGGTCAGAACTCACACAACTAACAGCACTAGAGCATGCACCACAGGGAGCTCCACAGCACACACAGCCAGCACACAGAGCCACGGGCCGGGATCTGGGATTTACCCACTGCTCCTGAGCATTCACCTGCCCCCTCTCTAAGAACTGACTTTGGTGCTGGCTCTCAGCAGGATTTCTTTGGACCTTCTCCATGGGAGATGTGGACAAACCAAAAGAAATGGCATTTTTACAGGCAAAAGGCTGAACGGGATGAGGCTCCCTCCTGAGGAGGGACCTGCTGGAGGGCCACTAGTCCTGGCCTAACCAGGCAGCCCTGGCCTAACCAGGCAGCCCTGGCCTAACCAGTGAGCGCGAGAGAAGCCAGTTAAGCAAAGCGGTATTTACATCTGGTTAATGCAATGTGCTCTGGGTCTGAGATGTAATGCTGTTAGTTTGTTGTAAATGAAATTCATCTCATTTACAGTCTGGGCAGGAAACTCACCACTTGGCCCACAGCTCATGTAGTGGGGAATAGAATTAGGAGCTTTGTTGCTCCCTAGACCTGCTTTTTGAATTTCTGCTTTCTGGGATAGCTTCCACATCTGCAGAGAAAAGCATTTCAGGTTATTCATTGTGTTTATCAGGACACGAAAAAAACCCCTCATGCATTAAATACATTCTACTCCTTAGGAGAGCAAAAGGATATACAAACACGTCTTTGTTGTTTTTAAGAGGAAAGGACAGAGGAGAGGGACAGAAGAAACTCACTGCAGGTGCCTACTCGGCTGCACTCGCTGACATTCCCCTCAGCATTTAGAACAGGCGTTACTCCCAAAGCACAGTCAGACAGATGTCACTTATGTATGGAAAGGTAACAGTGATGAGATGCAAGCCCAGCTGACTGAGTCTAGCAGGGAACTCCCCTGGCTGTACCCTGCCCTGCTGCAGGCTGGCAGAAACATTCCCATTCCGTCCTGCAAACCAGGAAAGGCTCTTTGCATGCGACAGCTGGAACGTGCAAAATGCAGGGGGTGGGTTCCCCGGTCACTCCCAGCAGAGCACCAGGCAAAGCCTGCTCTGTGGGCAGACTGCACAACACAACCTTCCTGGCCAGCAGCCCCCTGTTTAAGCAGTGCCATGCACTCCCAACTGAGCAGAGCTCAAGGCAGCAGGGGTAGGAACGAGCCAGGCATCCATCCACGTGTTTCACAGCCAGCCATGTGCACAGCTCAGCAGCAGCAGGGATTGGGAACCAAGGGAATTCCACAGCTCCTTCCACTATTTCAGCGTAAACCAAGAGAGACACCCACAACCTTCCTTGTTGAAGTGTAAAGACCAAAAAGCAGGGGAAAAAAATGATCCTTCTGTCCATGAAAACATTTGCTTTCTTTCATATCCAATACACAGATGTTGTCAGTCATTATTCTGAGCACTGAACACTCTCTCACAGAACACTTCCACTGCTGCTGATCCACAAATTTATAAAGCAATGCAAAGCAGTGGCTGGAGCTGGACAAGCTCCTGGAGATCCCAGACACTGGAGCTCCAGGACACTCCTGCAGACCTTGTTCTGCCCAGAACAAGCAGAGTCTCTGCAAGGCCCAGTAAGAAAACAGCAGCTCCTGGCAGCACAGTGTGAGTTTATACCAAGTGCTCTGAGAGCCAAGATGGCAGTTCCTTAAATAACTTATCAAATGTGTGGTGCACACGTTGGGACACCAGCGCTCCTCATCTCCAGCACAACTCCAACACATCTGCAGGTTAATGGCAGCGAAGGCAAACCACACGAGCCAAGAGCAGGGCACTGATCCCACAGAATGCCTCTGGAACAGGCAATAACCTGCCCTCACTCCCTCTCTCCACCTGGAAGTGCAGGGCTCCCTCTCCTGTACCAAGCAGAGCCCTCACATGGAACAGCTGCTGCTCTTCCCTGGGGAGCTGTGGATTCCCTGCCCCTCCCAGTTAATCACTCAGGAGTTAAAGCTCGGCCCACAGAGCAGTTCTGTGAGTGCCACAATGCTGCTGCAGAATCAGCTCAGGCTAAAGAACAGAATGTGGTGTTGCTTATCCTCAGTATTTAACTTTCATTCAGGTTTTTTGTAAGGGATGTAATTTTGGCTCCCACAACTGGCCTGGCTACGTCCTCTGGCAGAGAAGTGCTCGTGTCTAAAGCCTCACGTAGTTACTGCTTAAGTCTGCTACAATTTCAAACTGTTCATATTTACCACCGAGAACTTTCAAGCACTTGCAGAGGCAGTGGCACATTAAATAATAACTTTAACATTTCTCTTCAGCTGCTCATCTGGGACTTGAGGAGTTATTTCCTGAAGCACTCCTATCCTCTCAAAACCTTGCAAGCAACTCGGTTATTCTTCCTTTTATTTAACTGTGCTAATTTAACATTTTTTCTGTTATTTTGTTACACCATTTTGTTTTCTGCTATATCAGTGTTACTTCTGTTGAGAACTAAAAATGGCTTTCCACCACGCTCAAGACAGGATTTTATTCCTACACATCACAAGGAGTCTGTTATTTGACTCCTGATAAAACCAAAGCCTTCCCCACAGCTGCACCCCAGACGTGGAAAGGCAGAGCAGACCAAAGGGAAAAGGTGGAAAAGGCCATTTTTTCACAACAAGTGCTGGGTATCATGTGACTATTTATCACCTCTTCAAAAGAATTATCATTCCTGTCCAGGATTGTGAATGCTCTGTGTGCGTATGACTCAGTAATTGATATTTATTGTGCAAACTGGAGGCACTGAATGATTAGGCTGTGATTTGTTCCTCGTGCGTTTATGCCGGGACGTGGCATAAATGGAAAGGGCAACAAGATACCGAGACATCTCTAAATGCTTCTTTTCATTTTTCAAAGGGGGAAAAAAAGCATTTTTACTCCAAGTAGATGATGCACGTGTTACCGACCCCCCTGAGAGCTGGAGCACAACTGGCAGCACTGTCCCTTCCCGGGAACGCCGCTCCCGGGGCGCAGCATGCGGGTGCTTTAACATGCAGCAGTGACCCACAGGAGAGCAGCCCGCTCCTGCGAGGCGTGACACACAACAACACAGCTCGATTACGGAGGCATGCAGAACGTACACAGTGCAATCAGGGTTTCATGCAGGCTTTGGTGGGGTTACAGGTCCACATTCCAACATGCCACAGTCCACAGCCGCGGGACACAACCACCCACGGACCGACCAAGGAGGCTCTGAGATCCAGCGGGCACGGAGAGCACCCCTATGGCACGTTAGACTCGTACGTGTGCACCGACACAGCCTGCTCCTCACACACAGCCATACTCGTACCACAGCGTTTGGTTATCCTCCGACACCAGCAGCGGGGGCTCGGCCTCACCCGTGCTGGCACCGGAGGCAGGGACGGGCTCCCTGGGCAGGGCCGCCCGAGGCTCCCCCTGGGCAGGGCTGTGAGCGGCACGGGGCTGTTCCTGGATCCAGGGCACTGACCTAAACGCTGGCGGATTTGCCCGCTCGGCTGCTCTGGAGGTGGATCTGTGGGGCGCTCCACTGATATTACTGACTAACTCCGTGTTCAGGGATAAGAATGGCTGGGGCACAGGAAAGGATCCTGCGCTGCCACGCCCAGATCCACCGGCTTTATCCCAGAACACGCTCGCACTCGGCAAAGTCCTCTCCCCACAACTTGGCCTTTCCGGCCTGGAAGGCCCGGGCGCCTCGGAGTTACATCCCAAATTACGCGGCGGGGCCTCGCCCTGCGGGACACCCCCTGCCCTGTAGGGCACCCAGTGGGCACAGGGGGAGGAGAACCCATGTGCTGAGTACTCACTGGAGCTGGGCGGGGCGCTCCTGTCGGCCGCGGGCGCCGCCGGATCCACCGACACGGGCGGCCGACTGTCCTTGGACAAAAAGTCATGGATGCTTGTCCTGCGGGTGGTCCCTTCCGCCGTGGAGATGACGCTGCTGGCACGAGGTAAGGTGGCGTACGGATTGCAGTCCCTGGAAGGGCGCTGCGATGCAGTCGCCTGCAGCTTGTCCTTCACCGCCCGGGCCTTCCCGGGTGCTCCGGGCGGGAATTTGATGGGGGAGCTGCTCAGGTAGAGATCGTCAGTCTTACGGAGGCTGGGCCTCACCAGCTGCTCCGGCCTCAGGGATCGGCCCTCGCAGAAATCCACCGTGGTTTTGACGCTCAAGGACCTCACGATCCCACAGCCAGCGCCCGGCTGCTTCCGGGGCCTCTCCCGCCCTGCCAGCTCCGCAGACTCAGACAGGCTCCTCATCACTTCATCCAGAAGGTTCTCTTCACTTGCAGATTTCATCTGTCAAAACCAGGAGACACACATTTACAATGTCATACAATGTTGTGATTGTTAATCTTTACCTTTTGTTAAGCGATCCTTGTGGACGTAAATGCAGAACAATCCTACCAGGATTATTAGATTTTTTTTGATTTCTCAGCTCTAAAAGCAGTATTAAAAGTGTATAACACACACACTTAAAACCTAAAAATCCTTGTCAGGGAGGCCACAGGTGAGAGAGATCATTGCAAGTATCCAACAAAACGATGTAGAATCTCCTCCAGACCCAAGTCTCTGTCCCAGACAGCCCCAGTCAGACTAGCTGGGAATGTGTATTTTTCCATGTCACTTGTGTCATTTAAATAAGACAGAGTCTGACCCTTCCTCCTGAGAGGTCCTGGTCACAGTGGCTGCCTGGCTTTATCCTACAGACCTCTGGGTTTTGGGCAGACATACCCAAGAACTAGGGAGGAAGAAAATGGAATACCAGCACAGAAAAGGTGATTTGGGGCGCCTAACAAACTGTCACTGCTTTACAGAGACATTCTCTTGGTCTGATTTCTCTCAAAAAGCTCCAAGGTCGCTTTTTGTTTCCCATTACTGTTACAAAGACAAAACCGAAGCAGACAAGAGTCTCCTCAGGGAATGAAGCCAAACATCTCCCCTTGCTGTTGATGCAGGACGGAGCTGACAGCAGCTCCTGCTGAACAGACGTGCTGCACTGGAAGGAGTCCTGGCCTTCCCCCTGCACTCCGAGTGTCCCAAGACACCGGGGACAGGACTCCTCACCAACCCAGGGGCCTCTGCAATTCCAAACCACTTGATGTGTGGTGCAGCAGGTGCTGCACCAGGACAGAAGTGACCTCGGAATGCAGGAGTGAGCAAGAGCTCCACAGCAGCTCTACCCACTGTGCCTGGCACTAACTGAGCCCGTCCGAGAGTACACTACGTAGCCACAACACCCTCCAGACTGACCTCACTGGAGTTACTCTTGTTGCTCTCCTCCAGGAACTGCTGCAGGGTGACCACTTCGCTGCCAGGAGAGCCGGTTTTGGCGTGCTTTCCACGGCTCTCCAGCGCCTCGGTCCTCTGCGGGAGCACCGGGCTGGAGCGGCTGGGACCCCTCAGGTACTGCGTGGGGCTGCTGCTGCTGCTGGACCAGGCCTCGTGCTCGTGCAGGAGGCTGAACTCCCCGCTGCTGTGGCTCTGGGGCCTGCTCTGGCTGTTCACTGCACCTGCTGGGGGATGAGGCCATCAGGGATTTCCGTTAGCAACACACAGCACAGCTGACAACATGGACAGCCTTACCCAGACCTGCAGCACTAATTCTATTGAAGAGACTAAAAACAATCCAGTTGTCCTTTTTCACTTCACAGAACTGCACTCCCCTGACTTACCTTTTGCAGCTCTTTAAACGTGATTTTTAAAAATAAAAACTACCGTTATAATCTGGGCCTCTACCTACATAACATTACATTCCAAGAGGCTAAGGATGCACCTCCACTCCTGCTCAGCATCACTGTGAGGCACATGGCAATGTAATGTTAAAAGAAATACAAAGGGCTGAATGGAAAGAAAATGTTTTCTCCAACAAGAGCTACTTAGGAATGCTGCTTCTCCAACACTTCCTGCTGTTACTCCTAGCTGGTTACAACTGGGACCTGAAGGAAGCACATGGTGTTAAATGCAAAATGAATTCCACAGGTCCAATTCCTTTTATTTGTCAGAAATTGTGAACTGCTAAAAAAATACGCAGGGATAATCAGGCATTTCTGACTTCGTGTTACTCTTAAGAAATGAAATGAAGTTTGAACAAAGATAAATTGCTTACAGTGGAGATTTCTAAACTGGGGCAAGGAGGACCTCAAGGGATCTTTTACAGAAGGGAGTAACCACAGAGATGTAATATAAACTATCAGAAATACTCAGCTAGCGTTCATTCCTAAATTTCCAAACAAACAGACACCTTTCCATAAATGAAGCCATGAATTTTAAGTGAATCCTGAGCTGGCAGTGCTCTGGTGGATACAACAGCTACAAGGGCCATTCCATACAAAAATGGAATTTAGAGAACACTGGTCAATCCAGGGATGTTGTTAACCTGGCAAATCCAAAGCACAAAGGTCTCTAGGATGTGAGACCATCCTGGCCAGTTGTACAGTACACAGCCCACAGCAGCAGTGCAGGAGGATGCTTGGGAAAAAAAAGAGCAATTTCTCTTCTTAAAACACTTTTTAAAGTAATTTGGGGGGAATTCTTATTTTGCACCATTGTTACCTGGGTTAGGTTTGGTTTAAAATAGCTGGTAACTTAGAAAGTGACAGCACCCTTTTAATATTTATTAAATAATCAGTTCTAGGAACATCTTTGCTCCCAGTCTGGGGAATGAAGGCTGTGAAATGCTTAAATGCTTAAACCACCTGCTGTGGTTTGCAGGGGGAATTTTTTGGCTGTGGGGTTGATTTTTTTTTTTAAATCTCTACAGATAATCTTACAGAGGAAAGAATGGAAATGAAGCACAGATGTGAATTCCCCTCCAGCATACCTTTGACTTCATGGAGTGAAGCATTGTTATTGCTATTGCTAGTGGATGTCCTGCCACTATCAAGGCTGGCTGGTCTGGAAGCTGAATGGAAAATTAGGAGACATGGTGGTGAACAAGATTGCAGCAGAGGCCGCGGTCCCTCGACATTCTGCTCCCAGAATGCTCAGGCAGGGCATGCACTGACACAGGCCCAGCATGCCCACGGGCAACAAAGGGTTCTTACACATCAGAAAGCGGAGGAATTTCCAGGCGGTCCAAGAGGACACTTTGGAAAAGGGCACTACAGGAATGGCACAGTAGAGGGGAGAGGAAACAGAGAGAGAAAGAGAGGGTACGTTTAGAAGTGAGAGTGGTGTCAGTGGGAGGCAGCTACAGGTGGGAGCAGGGACATGCAGGGGCTGCTCGTGGTCAGGGCACTTACAACAGATCTGACAGGGAACCTGGCACAGGGCTGGAAGGCCACGAGCAGCAGGAGCAAGAGCATCTGCACAGACAAAGTCCTGCACTCCTGAGCCAATACAAGGGAAATGCTCTGTTAGTAGCCTCAGAAAATGCCTGCTGCTCATGTTAATTGTAAATGTTTACGAGGGAGTTAAAACTTCACTTCTAAGTAACCTGCTACAGCTTTCACTTCAAAGCTTGGCTTGAAGGAACACGGAACGCTTCTATAAACTACAGCACACGGCAAATTTGGGCTGCACTGAACAACAAACTTTGAAAGCTCAGGCCAGATTGGGATTTGGGGTTTTTAGGATTGAAATGATTAACTTCTTTTATCTACTATTAACTGCAAATGGAAGTTAAAACACTTTCCCACTAATGGGGAAAGTGCTTTGATCCTGTTCAGATGCACTTCACAGGTACTTTCTACCAGAGATACAGAACATCTGTCTGATGTAGGAGATAAGGAAGAAAAGGAGAGTCTGAAGAAATGATACAATACATTCGAGAGATGTGGAATCACAGAGAACATGCTCACTGCAACCACGTCATTCACTGTATTTTTGCAAACTTTGTTAACATTCACATCGTATACCCTTAATTCACAGAGTTAAAGTTCACATCTTACCATGAACTCTTGATCCTGTACTAGAATCATCACTAATACCTTGGGGACTTACATCTTCATAGGATGTGGTATCTACACACAGAGACATAAAAGATGATGTAAAACAAAATAAAAGGAAAAGATTATTGAAATACTTATCACTGGCACAATATATTAAAATATTTATCAAAGCAATCCATTTTTTCCTTAGGAAACATTCTGTAGGGAAAAACCCTTCAACATTTTACCACTGCAGTTATGAAACCTATTCATTATCTTAGCGCTGCAGCTCAGTTATCAAGATTGCTTTTTGTCGAGAAACTTACAAAACATAAGAAAAATCAATATTACACAGTTACATCACGGTGCAAAAAGCTTCTACCTATACCTTTATTATTTAGCAACTGCTTGGATCTGAAGCCTGTGGAGGAGTTGACAGTGGCAAAGTTGATGGCTGTGGTGGAGAAGGCCATAGCTCCCAATTCCTTCCTCCTTTTACCCGTGGACATATCATCGGGGCCCTCCAGATGCTCAGAACTACCTGTCCATTGTCCTCCTGCCAGGACCATGGACTGCACCAGGTCATTCATGGCTGGGATGCAAATGAAAGCAGATGATCAGCGCGGGCGAGGTCCCCGCTCGTTCGCAGAGCGCATCGCAAAGCCGGGCGGTTCCCTAAGCGTGAGAGTGGCGCGGGGCCGGCGGGCACAAACATCGTCATGCAATCGGCTGGGGGACGGGGAGGGGAGCATTGGCGGGGTCCTCGCCGTGCCACGCCGTGCCACGCGTGCGGCAGAGCCCAGACACACCGCCGTCTGCCACGGGAACGTGGGGCGGACGGCGGGGAAAGGGGCTCGTCCAGCAGTGCCAGCGGTGCCACGGGATCCTGGGACGGTGCAGGTTACTGCAGGCACACGGGGTTACAGAGCAACAGAGGAAAACACAACAGCTGATGACATTCACCTGCGCTGCCCCCAGCTCGGGAAAACCGTCCACCCCTCATCAGAAAATAAAAGCAGACAGAGGAAATCAATACAACGTTCTGGCAACGAGAACTGAGGAGTACTTGCAGAGTGACAGACCACCAGAGAGCCTTGCACAATTGCCTACACTTCCCTTAAACAACAACAACGACAAAAAAAAAAAAAAATCACAGGGATTTCTTAGCAGAACGTGTCGTTCAGAACCGTTTCTGTGAACACAGTGCACTGTAAATTTATATACACATGGGGCCATGTGTATATAGACAACTATGTATACAAATATATGCAGTCACAATGCACTGAATAGATTATATGGATGTGCGTGGGGACGTGTGGGTACGTGTGTGTGGGTGTGAGTGTGTGAGGGGGTGTGTGTGTGCACATATATAAAGTATTCAGTGCCAAGGTTTTGGGTTTTTTAAAAAAAAAAAAAAAAAAAAGGGGGAAAAAGTAAAAAGAAAAAGCTCCAGCTCCTTGTACCGTAGCAGGACTCGCACGTTGCAAAAGAGGAGGAAAAATACAGCGCAGTCCAGGGAGAGGTTAGTGAAAAATTAGTAAGGAAGCCAGTGTAGCCATTGAGAAGAAGCTGAACTGTCATAAAGTCTTACACATGGAGCGACGGTAGAAGGCCTTCATTTTGTCTTTTTCCTTCGGTCTGTTCCTCAAAAAGGGCAGTCTTTTCAGTGCACCCACTTTTATGTCATAGCATGAGGAAAAACGGAAACAGGGAAATGAAAGAAAAAAAGGGGAGAAGAACAGATGGAAGTTAAATGTTGAAACTAAGGACAGAAATGAATGTCTCGAGCTTAAGCTATGCTAAAAGCTATCACTGTCATGCTGCTGGGTGGGCAGGAGGGATAGGAACTACCCTGCAACGGGAAAACCGCTCTGGGAGAACCTTCACATACGGATGGTGGGCAGTGTAACACTCCCCACTGCTAATCTGGGCAGGGTAATGCTCCCCACTACTCCTCTACTTCAAGAATTTGAAGCTCTTGGGGGGAAAAAAAAAAAAAAAAAAAGAAATGCAACTTTTCTTTGCAGGTGGTTACAGAAATGGTCCGTTACGGAATTCTTACTGTGGAAAATAACACTTTTTGAGCAGAAAGAAAACTGCAACTCTAAGTACAGCTTCTGCTTCCAAATATGTTCACCTCGTTATTTTTTGAGGTTAATTGATTTTGGTCGTGGTTTGCCCTACACACCTACCAGGACACAATTTATTATCAGTCTTCAGTTCTTGCATTTTGTGCTCAGTAAGAATTTTGCTCATCTACTTGTGGAAAACCCACAGGGGCCTCCTGTTCAATGCCACTCTACGTGCAGTGCTTTTAGCATCACCAAAATGATCTGCTTCAAACCTGCAAATTTCTTAGCTGAGAAAAACCCCAGAGGAAACAAAACCACAGCAAAGCCAAACACGAGCATTGCTGGGAGGGCCCAGAGCAAACTGAGGTGCGTTCTATGAGGAGAATTACAGAGTTAAAATCACAAACAGTATTAAAGGATGGAGCAGTGCATATATACATATGCATTTACAAGTGCACATGGGGGACCCTGAGGGGCAAACAAATACACCTCCCTCTCCATTGTCTCATCCTGGGTCTGCACCCAATGCAATGTAACCAAAGAGGTCATTCTGTTCTAGTTCTATTTTTTTGGCACCAAGATGACACATGACTTCTATAATCCTTTACCGACAAGATAACTCACCCCTTTATAATCCTTTGTAGACAAGATAAGTGAGCCCTCTTAATTAAAAACTCCTTAATCTTATTAAAAAATAACCAGAGCATGTGAGTCATTTGTCCTGTCCATTAACACAGATCACCTCCAAAAGGGCTGGTTTAACTGTACCCACCAGGAAACTCCCCTGCAACTACTGCTGGCCTGGAAATCCTGCACCAGAACCTGGCCTTTGTCCTGGAAATCTTGCCATGAGGACCTGGCCATTGGTAAAATGCAAAACCTGCTTGAAGGGGGAATCATGTAAATAATGTCTGCATAAAATCCAACTCAAGAAATGTCCTGGAATGGTAATGATGATTAATACTGAAATGGCAGAGCTACAGCAGAAATTAGGAGTTCCTTTCTATTTTCAATATTCTAAGAGCATGTCCCTGCTTTCTGAGTTGAGAAGGAATGATGGGTGTTGCAGAATTCCTCCCCTGATCAGGAAATCTCCTGTTTTGTAACCTCCCCCTGTTTGCAAAAAAATCCTCTGAGGAATTCTTCCAATGTATGAAAATCTTCAAAGGGTTTTGTTCATCACACAAGAAAGTACGAGGCAGACATCTTCTAAAGGTCCTGCTAATAGGAAATGGAGCCCAACAGACTTTTTTAACTTCCACTACGATGTGATGTGTCTGCTGCTGGTGCTGCTGCTGGAGATGCAGTTCACTGCTAGCCCTGACTCCTTGGGACTCTGTCAATCACCTGAGAAGGCTGCAGGGGAAGGCAGCAAAGGGAGTCTGGTTTTGTCCACAGAAAACAAAAATCCCCCCTGCCTGCCTTGGGCTTTCTGTGGGAAGGCTCCGAGTGGTGCCATGCTGCCCGGAGCAGGTGACAGGTCGGTGGCACTCACCGGCTCATCAGCAGTGAGCAGTGAGGATGTGGGGTCAGGATCTGGGAAGAAGGAGGCTGTACTTGCAGCAGGGAATGAAAAGCCGAGGTGAAACCCTGCAGTCAGGAGCACACATACCCTCACTGCCTGCAGGGACAGCAACAGCCATCCAGGCCCCCTCCTTCCCAGCTCAGACGCTGGGATCACACAGGGGCTGGGGGAACGCTGCCAGACCTCAGTGCTGCTTTCTCTGCACAGCAAGGGAACCGGGTTTTGGGGCCGAGATCCCCTGGGAGATAACAGGGCTCTGGGACACACGAGCATGACAAAGTGGCCTGTCTCCATCACCACCTTCCACAGCTGTCACACGCCAGGTCTCTTTATCAGCAGTGGTGGCAGCAGGGTAACCAACTGTGGGATCAGCATCTCCAGTGGGGAATGTGGGATAGGAACCCCAGCCCCCTTGGGATCTGTGTGTCAGACACTGTGCTCTCTAGCTCAGGAGAACACCACTGGTGTGATCCAGGGATGCTGAGCTGCCTTCTCCTGCCTCCTGAGGGCCATGCAGGACATTTCACCTCTGCAGTTCCTGCTGGAATTATGTCCTTTCCCAGGGTGGGACAGACCTGCCTCTTCCCAGAGCCAGCCCTGCCTTCAGCAGCGTGCAGAGCTCCAGCACCTCAGCGTGGCAGCTCACACGTGCTCTCTGCTGCAGCTCCTGCCGTGGAAGCTGCTAAAGCTGCTACTGCCAAACCGCCTCTTACAGAGAAGAAAGGCCCCCCAGTATCCCGGGATTTAGGATTTACAGTCCCTCTCAGAGCAGAAGGAACAGCCTGCAAAATGTGCACCATCACCAGCGCTTGTCACACGGAGATGCTCCCTCTGAGACACAAACTGCCTCAGCAAGATTGTCAGAGCTGAGCTGGCACACGAGGCACCCCAGTCCTGCCCAAACCCAGGTTTCCATGGCGACGTGTGTAACGCAGGAAGGGCTGGATCCAGAATTAGATCAGCCCTTCCAGTTTGTGGGTAAATACACTGGGATTAAGGGGGACATGACCAAGGCCCGTGGAGTAGAAAATTAATGAGGTCTGCATGGCTCCAGAGCTCCTTTGAGGCTCAGGCACCGTAACCGCGGCCGTGGCTCCCCGGGAGGGGGAACTGCACACCACGAGGTCCCGAGGAGCATGCAGAGAGAACCGTCACACAGAAGCCCTTCCACAACACCACGGTGGGGACACAGATGCAGATGGGCTGACCCACGGCGTGCACACTCGTGCTTCCAGCTGACACACGGGCAAACACACCCCCCACAGCTCCGCTCACCACTCCACACCACTCACGTTGGGATGTAAAAGCAACAGTTGCCTTTGTTAAAGTTCAAAAGTAGCTGTTCTGAACCTTAGGCTGAAAAACAGGGGGCTTCCCAATGGGACAAGTTAGCACCTTTGTAAGTGCCTCGAATTTACCATTTCCTTCACTTATTAAAAAAATGCAAATCTGATTTTAAGTCTCTCCGAAACAGCATTTTTGGATGTTTTTAACTTTGACCATGCTCCTGCAAGAAGCACAGAATTAAAAAAACCCATCAAAATGGCTTTAATCATTTCTACCACAGCAGATTCACAGCTGGCACAAGCCCCAGCAAATCAACCTGCTGCTTTTTGGAAACTCAAGGCATTAAATTTAAAAGGAGCAGTGCAAAGATTGGAAGTGACTTTTAATGCTCACGTGTTCTGATGCTTTTACATGCACAGCCAAAATGCTTTTGGTGCATAACTGTTAAACAGAACCATCACATCCTGATAACCTGGCTGCAATATTATCTCTCAAGCTGGGAGAAACTGGGCAGTTTATGATCCAAGCCAAGAGTGGATAGTAAAAAAATATAGGTAATAAATAATAATAAACAGAATCTGGCCTTTGTAGCATGGGCACCCTCATGTGATGGCTATGAGGCTCTTCCAAGGCTAGCAAATTGTGTCTGGGATATTCCATCTATCCACACCCTCTGCAACCCTCCCCACTCAGCTCTAAATTTAGGATCACTAACAATCCCCATCTTTTTAAGAGGTTGTGTCTCTAACTCTTCCTGCTGCACCTTCCAGTTTGATGAGAGGATTCCCTCACTGGTTTTGTGAGGTGCTGGGGAACACCTCCAGACAGCAGGTGTTTCTAAGATGTTAGCACAGCCACAGCTTGGAAAACACTTCCAGGACAAGGGGAGAGATTCGTGCTGGGACAAGAGGGAGAAACAAAAACGGTGCTAGTGGTGACGTCTGACATTCCATCCAAAATCCTGCTTGCCTGGCCCAGGTGCAGCGCCTGCTTCACCTTACCCGAGCACTGCAAATGTACTTCAACATTTACACTGAGAGTTCCAGAAAAGCTAAAAACTTGTCCCTGCCCAAACCCTCCAGGGAGTTTGCATTAAGTGACCATAAACCTGTCCTTACATTAATCAACTCAGGCTTTGCTCCTAAAGGCTTTACCTTTAACAACCCTCCAGAAGACACAGACTTTTCCAACACTTATTAGCAGAATGAGGGGTCCTGCAGTACTCACTGCTACTCTTTTTGGTGCCCAGGGTCTGCCCATCGTCCAGGGAGTTGGAGCCCACTGAGGAGCTGTCCTGGCTGTCCTGGTGGGGCAGCTGCAGGAAGCCCTCGCTGGATTCCGAGCGCATGGGCGTGAGGGTCACCGACTTCAGCCGCTCCCGGTTCCCGTCCTTCTTGGACTTGATCAGCTTCCTCATCTTCAGGGTGATCCAGTTGCCCCTCCTGTTGGCAGTAACACAGCACACTTGTGACACGCTGCCTTCACACTTCTCCTGATCTGTATGCACAACACAGCCCCGGTTCTGTGCCCCTGACTGTGAGCACATCTCCGTTTTCGGCTGCAGCAGAACAGGTTACGCCCTGAAGTCATGATTTGTTCTGAGATCCCGTGAATTCAGAGGTACCTTCGTGGTGGAGACGGTTCATAGAATTTATACTGATCCATTATCTTCTCCTCCAGCTTCTCCTTCTGCCGCCGCAGCTCGTTGAGCTTGTCACTGCAAACAGAAATCAGGGAGAGGGGCTGCTCAAACACGCATGGACTGCGTGGGCAGCCTGTTCCCCTGGGGATCTGTTATCTCCAACTTGTCATCTTTGGGGAAGAATTCTAAAGTCACAATTGTTTCTTATCAAATGAGCAAGAGATAACAGCAAACAAGCAGACTTAGGTTTAACTTCATGACATAAAATTGAGAAAGTTTCCATTTGCCTTTGTTACAGGACAGAATTTCCCCCTTTTTAAGTATTAAATGTAATTTAGACAAGCCCATTTTCTCTTCCTTCAAATTCACTACAAAGTTTAGATTACAATTCTAGACTTTGCCAGTAGTAGAATGAGGAGCAAACAACATTTTTGTTCCCCCTTTTGCATAACCAGTAACCATCACAGTTGCACTGATCCTTCGGAACTACAAACATGAGGTTTTTAGTTTTTATCTGCTTTACGTTTACAATTGAAATTTTTTTCTGAAACATTTCAGAAGCAGCACGAGTTAAATTCCATCTATAGCAGAAGCAGCTTAAAGAAAATTAGTGTATCACAGTGATTTTCAAAACTCACATGTACTGCCTTTGCTCCACGTGGAAGAGATCCTTGCTTTCCATATTCTGCTCCAGTAATGTCCTATTTTGCAGCATTAAAGTCTGAATTTGATCCAGCAGATGCCTGTTCTCCTCCTCCAGGTTTCCTTTGAGCTGGCTGAGCAGCTGTAAAACACACGAAATGGCACCTGTGTACCTATGTGAGTGTATTTTCCACAAGCATAATGAGATCACCCAGACAATGTGAGTCCACAGAGGGGTTCTGAGAGTCCAAGCAAACAGAAAACTGCATCGTGAATCACCTGCTAAAAGCCCCTTGGATTCTTTAAAGAATTTAAACCAGTTTACCCAACATGAGCCCGTACAACAGGCAAATTAATTAGTCTTTGGATCCACTTCATTAGCTATAAACCAAATGACCAATTCTCCAGCACTTCCCATGATTTTATGAATCCACAACTACACTCCTATAAACGCTCCCTCATTCCCACGTACCTCACACTGATTATTCAGCTTTGTCGATGTAATATCCAGTTGCTGGTACTGTTCTTTGAGCTTGGAAAACTCCGCTTCCAGCCGCGTTTGCTCCAGTTTGGAATTGTTCAATAGTGTCTTCAGATTCTTGTGGTCAGTCTGGAGAACCTCATTCTCTCTCAGGAGCTGACTGTAGGTGTGAGTGAGCCTGGGATTGAGAGACACCAGCAAAGAATAAAACTCCTTCCTCTCACAGGCTGTAGGCGAGTCATCCCAGTCTCATTTTCCTAGGAATGTGCTCTGCCTTTAAGCCAAACCCTCTGTGCTCTCTGCATCTTCAGGATCTCTACATCACTACTAGTTTTAAGATGCCACTTTTCAGAAGAAAAGAATCCTATAAACAGCCCACAGAAAACAGTGCGGAGACAGGAATGGTCCCAACTTTGGCAGTCACAGAGGTTACTGATTTATCACGGATACAGCGATCCCTGGGTTCTCCTCGTGCCTCCTGGGCCCTGCCACGTCCCTCTGTCCCACATGCACCCTCAGGATATAATGATTATTTTCGTGGGATCATGAATGTCCCGAGTTGCAGCATCAGGTGTTTAGAAATGGGAAGGAACACAGCACTTGCTGAGGCTGCCCTGGCAGGTGCTCAGAGCTCCCCTGACCACACGGCAGGCTCGTCTTTACCTTTCGTTTTCATCGCGAAGCTTTTTATATTCTGCTGCCACCGTCTCGTGCTTCTCACTTTGCTGCAGCATTTTCTCCTGTTCTGTCTTGAGAACCTTCTCCAGCTCTTCCAGCTGCACCTTCTGTTTCAGCAGCTGATTGTACCTGCACACCAAGGCAATATTTAAGTGTCTTTTTGTGGACTGAGGAGAAGATGGAATTTTTATGAAATGGAGACTGTTTAGGTTTTAAATCTTAACGATTTAGGAAATGCTAGTTTTATTAAACCTGTTTTACTCCACCTTGTTTTGCTCAGGCAGGGCAGTGCTCACCTGTCCTCCAGGTCCTTGTGCTCCACCTCCAGGTTCTTGTGGGCGGCCTTGAGGCTGCCGTGCTTGGCGATGAGGGACTCGTACTCAGCCGCCTGGCGCTCGTGCAGCTGCTCCAGCTTCTCGTGGTCCTTCAGCAGGGCCTCGTACAGGCCCTTGAGGTCCTCCCTGTCCTTCAGCACGCCCTCGTTCTCGTTCTCCAGGGCCGACTGCTGGATGAGCAGCTGGGCGTTCTGGTTCATCAGGGACGTGCTCTGGGAGTTCAGAGTGGAGTTTTCCACCTGCAAACGGTTGTGGCAAATTAATTTCTAGTCTGGGTTATTTTGTCTATCTCCTGGCAAAAGATTTCTTGGGTTTAACCCTGAGTGACCTTCTAGTCGCTCCATTACCTGCCAACCTTTCATGGGAATACTCTTTCCTTATACCCCAACAGGGTATTCCAATTCAAAATATTCCAGGAATATTTCCACGGCAGTATTGCAGGAAAGCACTGAACCATATGATTAAGTTGATTTGATTAATCAATTAAGCATCGGTTAATTTGATTAAATAATCAAATTCTTATTTACTTTTCAACATCTGTTGAGTGCTATCTAGACAAGAACAACATTTGCCTCTGGCATCAAAACATCTGGGAGAAATGGATGCTCAGTGATCCTATTATAAGCCAAATCTGTGACATGACTAAAATAAAAGGAACTTCCATGTTGGCACAGAGATCTATTTTTAAGAACATCTTGCTGGTACAGAATCTGTATTGTCATCATAAAATCTTTATGATGCCCATGTGTCCTTTCACAATGAGAGCTCAAACAGGAGCATCCCCTTAATGAGAGAGAATGGCAAATAAAACAACAGCACCTGCAAGGAACTGCCCATATTCTGTTCTGTGCTCCAGTGTGGAACTAGTTCAGAATTATGTCAGAACAGTACTAATGTCTATTAGCACACTAAAGCCTTCATCATTAAGACAAATTTAAAAAACCCCAACCAACCAACAGCTTCACTTTTTGTGCCTCTGGAAAGATTAACCAAATGTAATCCTTGGATATCTTGTCACCTGACCTGTACTGGGCTCATTTCCTTCTCTTTGCTATTCAAGACACCAAACCCACAAACTACTGAGGCTTCTAAAACCCTGGGGGTATCTATTAAGGGGAAAAAAATTCCATCTCCCACTGCAGCGCCTGCTGTTACCAGGGAACAAATCCCTTCCTGCCGGAACTGCAGCGCTCTTTGTTCCACAGGAGAAAGTTCAGCCTTTCCCTGGAAATGAAGTCACATCTCATGGATGGCCCAGCCTGAATCCCGAGTTTTATCACCTCACAATTCCCAGTTACCCCCTAAAACGTCCCCTCTCTTGGCTGCTCCTTGTGGGCACCACCAGGGAGAGCAGAATCAGTTGCCAGGACCGGTTCTGACAGAGATTCCACTTCAGGTGGAGCTGACAGTTCCGATTTTCATGAGCATATTTCACCTTTCATTTTGATCTGGAGGTGGTGGAGAGTTGTCTTGCCAGAGAGGAAAGGCCTGTGCTGTTGTGCACGAGGTAAAAAAGGAACTACGCTAATATTCCTGGCTTCTTCTGACAAATGGGGTTACAAAATACTCCGAGTTCTGAATCCCAGAGATAAATCCTCACATGGTTAAAACAGGGTATTTCCATGTCCCTGTCCACTGCTTTTGAACAGCCAGAAAAGGCACAAAAGTCCTGTTTTCCTGGAGTGCTGTGCACTGATGAGATTTCAATGTGCAGCACAGAGTGCATCCACGGGACAGGTATGTTCTGCTTCCCAGAAAGCCAGGATGAGAACTCCAGGCATTCACCAAGGGCCTATTTGTCTCGTTTCAAAAGCCCTTGACACTCGGATTTCCAGCACCCCTCCATCCTTCCTGACACTGTTGCTGCTGGACTGTGGACTTTTCACTCCCTCTTTAAGGAATTTGGATTCTTACAACTCCAAAAAGCATTCCACTCATTAGCAAGAACATTTCATTTTCAGAGACCAAAAAGAGATACATATTTAATAACCCTCTGAAGGTATGAAGGACAACATCTGAATGTTGGCCACGAGAGCTGCAGGACTCTGGGTGAACCATTTTAATAATTTCCATGGCCAAACACCACCTTTCTTTTGCCTCTGAATTATCTACATTCAGTCCTTATATATTTAGGTAGGGTTTTCTTTTTGGTTTTTTTTTTAGTATTCTATACTTTTTTAATATATATTCTATACATTAGTAATTATCTTGATTTTCCTTTTAGGTATGGCTCTACTTTTTTTTTTTTTTAACTACTTATAAAAGTAGACACAATTTATTACAATCTCTCTGGACACACCACTTCCCTGACCTAATTTAGATGTACAACTAAAATAAAAGAATCCAACCAATCTTAGAAGGCTTCAGAGAGGGATAAGAGAACCTCCCCTACTCACAAGGGTATAAAGTCGAGAGTCTCAACTGGACAAACGTGAAGGATTAAAACCAACTTCTAGGACTGCAATTATTCATCAGCAAACAAACTATTATTTGACTGTCTGAGAGATATTTCCACATCACCTCCTTTCCCAGGTCCGCACTGGAAGCAAAATGTGGCTTTAAAACACGTTGATTTAGCCAGAAAAACAGCTTTCATTTTGGTTTGGAGAGCCAAACAGGACCACCTCACCTGGAGCTTGGCGTTCTGGGTTTGCAGGGTGGTGTTCTGCTCCTGCAGGGCCATGCTCTGCCTCTGCAGGGCCAGGATCTGCGCCTGCAGGTTGTTGTTCTGCGTCTCCAGCTGCTTCAGCTGCGTCTTCAGCGCCTGCTTCTCCGCCTGCAGCGTCGCGTTCTGGGCACGGGGGGACAACAAACACAAGGTCTGAGCTCACAGGGGCTTCTCCAAGAGAGTCACAGGGTGGAATGAAAGTGGGAATGAGCTTCCAGGGCCAAGGGACACACAGGGTGTGAACACACAGACTGTCACTGCGGGTTACGATGGGCAAACAGGGAACAGCAGAGACACCTCCAGGCCCCAGGTAAGCAAGGGTTAGACAAGAGGGATTTCAGAGAGAGCTCTGCACCCACAGGGACAGATTCAGGTGTTCATGTTTCCTTTGAAACGCCTGTCAAGTGTTTCAAGGCATCCCTCAGAGCAGAATCCAGCTGCTCCATACACTGCATTTAATTCGGATCAGCTTGGGATGGGAAGCAGGTGACAAGTGCCACACTTGAACAACACTCATTCCTGGGACTGCAACAGACAACAACAAATAATCACAACCACAGCTAAATCACATCTTACATTCCTCTCCACTTCAATTAATCTGTCTTTAACTTTCAACAATTCTCTAGTCGTTTCCTGGTTTTCCTTCTCCCACTTATTGACGGACTGATTCTCTTCTCCGCTTCTGGGAGGGGAGTTCTGAACCATCCTCTCCTCTTCTTGCCTTTGCTTGAGAGCTTCGTAGTTCTTTTTCACCTGCAATTATTTAGGACAACCCAGATTAGGTTCAGAATTTCCCATTTTAGACACCCTGATTTATTACCTGGCCATGCCACCTCTCAAAGAATAGGAAGTTCTGTGTTCCTGTAACTGTAAATCTGTTTTTTGTACGTGTTTGGGGAGATGCTGCACAAATTATTTATGGGTATGGACAACTTCACGCATTTCCCAAGAGCAGGAGAACTCTATCTGCTATTTTATTTCAGTGCCTTCAATGGTACCACCCAAGTTTTAGAATAAAATCCTACAGCCAAGGCATTTCTGCCAAGGCTGCTGAAGGTAGGTCAGGAGATATAACTGCAAATGACATCCCAAATCAAATCAGCCCCAGTCAATTTATCTGCCTGACATTTTCAATGAACAATGAATGAACTCTACCACTTTTCATCTGACTCCAACAGCGTTTTAAAAGCAGTCACACCTCTGTCCTGCTTTCCACTACCCAAACAATGCTCAGCTTTTGCAGTCTTACCCAAAAATAGAAACAACTACAGCTCCTACAGGAACCATTCAATCTGACAGAAAAATGCCCTTTTCCTTACTGTTTTCAGCTCCTGCCGGAGCTGCTGGTTCAGATTTGTCGACTCTTCCAAACGAGCCTCCAGAGCAGCGATTTTTTCTTCCTTGATTTCCAGGGACTTCTTGAGCGTGGATTCCAGTTTGGACTCCAGAAGCTTGTACCTACTGGCCAGCAAGCAGCACAAAGTCAGTGTTTCCAAAACCCCTTTGAGGCACTTAAACCCTGGAATGCTGGGAAACAGCAGCCTCATGGCTACCCTCAAAAATGCCTGGAAGTCAAGGGCCTGCAGCCCCTCAGTGTTCACAGCCAGCCCCGTGCCTAAAGCAGGCAGGAGATGGTGGCAAACCCCATTTCTGACTCCTCCTTTCTTTCAGATGTGCTTTAGGCACAGGAAAAGGCAGGCTGAGCCCCCCCAGGAGGGGGCTGTTTATCTGCATCGTTACCCTGGGTGTGATGACTGCACTCCTCCTGCTGGCCCCGCTCCAGCGGATCCAGCGGGGACCTGAACCCAATTAGGATGGCAAGCATTTGGAGAGCAAGATTTTCATCAGTTCCCACCTCCTGCCAGCTCCCAAGGGGAGGGCAGGGCAGGACTGTGCAGGTGCACACTCATGTGGTGCCTGGCTTGCAAACTGCCCCCTCAGCCCAGATGCTGGGATTTGAGGACTGTCACCACCCCTGAGGGTAAAGCTCCCATTTTTCACCCTATTTACAATATTGTACGGCACCCAAAAAACCCAGAGTGCCTATTTGGGAGAGAAGTGGTCAGATTCAGGCTGTATCAATTTATAACTGCATCTCCTCTACAGGAAATACTGCAAACCACAGTCATTGATCACTTTAGGCAGCTCAGTCACTGTGCACGTGGCTCAGAGTCGGGCAAACATCCCACTGCTCCCCACAGCTGGCTAAAACAAACCCCTGGCATCCCCCTTTCCCACCCTGCTGCTGCAGGATCTATCAGCTTAGTGAAGGGAACGGGCTGCAGGAGGCTCCTGAATGGACAAGGGCATTAGATCCAGCCAGGAACTGGAGCAGAAGACCAATGGGAAGAGAACTAATGAGCAGAAACCTGTCCAGGGGCATCAAGGAGCAGGATGGGAATCCTACATTTGAAGACATGACAAGTAATTCCCAGAGATTTCAGGAACAGTAGGCAGCCTGTGACTAGTGGAATATAAAGGGTTTCACCTCCTTGAGCTGAAGCACAGATTTGGCTAGAAACAAGAATTTCTGTTACTGAAAAGTTACCAAATTATGTAAAAAAGACAAATAGCAGAGAACTGATATCCAGTTTCCTTTTGAACACCTCACAGTGAAAGACGGTACAGAGTTTCTAATGTCATTGAGACTTGGGTATTTCAGATTCAGAGTCCATCAATGTGCTTTGTTTGTCCAAGGACAACAGACGTTGGAAAGACAAGGAGAAATGGAAAACACTTCCAAGTTACTCATACAATGTGGCCAGTTTAGACCCCACTGGAAAGGCTGAAGTGCTACCAAGAATATTCATTAAAAACACAAGGAAATCTCTCCAATCAGGAAGAGGAAAACAAGAGGTGGTAACAGATTCACCCCCAGGACTCTGGCACCACCTCAGTCACAGAGCACTGGCAGCAAAAAAGGGAACCATTTGGGTCTTTAATTCAGTCCTGGGGTTTCCTTTTGACACAGGAAGGCCCAAATCGACCGCCGTGTTGGTGACAATCAGCTGAAAGAACAGATCCCCACACTGAACAGCACTGTGAAATAAAGCTTGCCCAGAGGCCCACAGTACTCTGCTCTTCTCCTGCCACAGATTTGCCCTAAATCCCTGCAGGGTAAGCCAGCAGAGGCAGAAACAGCAGAGGAAACAGATGTCGGGGCAGCAGCTGCCACCTCGTGGCAGGTGTGGTGGAGGGATGGAGCCAGTACCAAGTTCTGGAGAAGTTGTATCAGTACTCAAGTCCTGGACACTGCCAGCCAGGGGCAGTGGGAATGCAGCTTCCTTTTGTGGGATGGATTAGTTGTGAGGAAGGAGTGACACAGTCCAAGGTAACCACTGTGTGTTAAAAGTTGTAAAAACCATCTGTGTCAGACAAGCAGTTAGAAAGGAAAAAAATGCACTTTGAGCTAATTCTCTCTTACTGCCACTGTTCCTGCTGCTGGCTGGAACGTGAAAACATTTAATTATAATTAGCTGGATCTACTCACATACTTCAGTGAGTTCCTTAGCAACAAAAAGTGGCAACTCACTGTCGCAGAATGTAACAGCACATCAGCTCTCCCGTTCTTTCCAAAGAACAGCAAGCTGCATTTCGGGTCTGTGAGTGTGCCTTACAAATGTACAAGCCCTTCCTGACTAAAAAAGCCCCTCCTTTGTTCTCTGCTTCAGGTGGGCCCTGACACCCTCACCTGTCATCGCTGCTCTGCTCGTCCTCCAGGAGCCGCTCCTTGTTCAAGCCTATTTTCTCCAGCTCGTGGGCAAGTTTTTCCAGATCGTTGTTCATTTGTTGAGTCTTCAGTTTCTCATTCACCAGGTCCTTGTGGAGGAGAAAACACAGTCAGTGTTTCCACAGAAATCAAATAACGTAGTCTCAGTTCTAGGAGTGCTCAGACAAGAGTCTGTTATCACTACGTGACTGGAATAATTCAACGTTAACTCTCCCGTCCTTGCAGTTGTCGGCTCTCAGCTGGATCAGACCCTACACTGTGACTGTGATTTCACTGCATTCTCTTCCTTTCTGTAGAATTTCCCTTTAAATTTGGTCTTGAGCACGACAGCCAAGGGGCAATGTCTGATATTACTCCTTTTCCTTACTATGGTCACGTAAATTGTGATTATCTAATGCTTTCCCTACTGTAAGCACAAAGAAGGTGAGAGCACCCAGATTACAGCTTAAAAACCCACAAGGCAGAGCCTTTTTTCAGCCCCACAGCTGTGATTTCCCCACCTGGCAGGCAGATGACGGAGGAAGGGTAACCAATCTCCTTACCTCTCTCAGGGTGACCAGGGTTTTCTTGTCGATGGTCGCTCTCTTCACGAGCTCCTTATTTTCCTTCTCCAGCTCCTTCAGGCGCAGGCAGGACTCTTTGTACACAACGATTTCTTTGAACAGAGATTTATTTTCCCTTTCCAGGTTACTAATTTTGACATTGTTCTCCTCCAAAGTACTATCTTTAATCTCTGCTTGCTGTCTAAGCCTTTTATTTTCCTTTTCCAGCTGTTTCTTATCCTTCTCCAGCTGAGAGGTCTCTTGTTCCAACAACTTGTTCTCCTTCTCCAACTGCTCCAGGCGCTTACTGGAGATTTTTAACTCCTCCAAGTTCTTCTGCAGGGTCTGATTTTCAGACTCTAAATCCTGGAGCTCGCTTTCCAACTGCTGGATCTTCTTGTTGCTGTTTTCCAGGGCCTTCTGGAGCCTTTGGTTCTCCGTGTCCAGCCCCTGGTAACTCACCTCCAAGCGTTCGGTCTTCTTGAAAGAGGCTTTCATCAGCTCCAGGCTTTTCTTGAGTTGCTCCTTTTCACTCTCCAGCTCTTTATTTTCTAACTGCAGCTGTGCCACTTTCATGCTGGTGCACTTCAAGGACTCGATTGTCCTCCTCAACTCCAAGTTCTCCTCGTCGAGCTGGGCGTTCTCCTTTTCCAGGGATTCCAGCTGGAAAGTCAGGTTCTTGAGGCTGTCCAAGTTTTTTTCAGCTTTCTGTTCTCCGTCTCCAGGTCCGAGTTCTCCTGTTCCAAGGCCTCGATCTTCTCGCAGGTGATTTTCAGGTTGGTGATTTTCTTCTGTAACGCCTCGTTCTCCTTCTCCAGCCGATGCAGCTCGTTCTCCAGCTCCTCTGCCCTCTCCCCTCTCTCTTTGTAGTGCTCCAGTTCTTTCCTGACTTGTTTTTTCTCAAACTCCATCTTATTTAGCTTGCTGCTGGTCTCCTTGATGGACTCATGGAGGATTTTGTTCTCCTTCTCGATCTCCTTCATCCTCGCCTCAGCGCTGATCTGCGAGCGCTGCCTCAGAGAGGCCACGGTTTGATTCAAGTGCTCATTTTCTTGTTCTAACAGTTTAATCTGATTTTGGGGAGAAAAGCAGTGAACTGGTGAGCAACAGGCCAACAAGGAACTGCTTCACACATAAACTGAAAGCTACTAAGAGAATAAGATCACATTTCCCTTTCGAGTTAAAAAACAATCCCTTTACTCCACTGGTATTTCTTTGAGGAATCGTAAACATTAAATATGTACCCAGGTGGAAGTTTGACAACAAATAAGTCAAATTGAATCTTCAAATCTCCTCTTCTTTAATATTGACACACAACATAAACCCCAAACTTAAAAAAAAGCATAAATCAAAACCCAGCTTTATCTGTGTCTCAGCAGAATTGAATTTTCATTTGTGGATGACTTGGATTCAGATTATTTTTCTTAACCTCTGTGATTCCCAGGGATGTGTGAGCACAAAGAACTGGAGTCAAGCTCTAAACCAAACCTGAGATGGAGGGAGGTGTGGGAGCCACCAAAGTGGCTTTATTTCCTTTAGGAAAAGCAGAGGTGATGTGTGGGATATGAGGGAATCCTCGCCACACTCAGCAACTATTTGAGAAGAAACAAAAAGTTACACTGATTTTTGACTTACAAAGAACCCTTGGACACACTGCTCCAAAACAGCTTCCGAGAAAGTAAATCATATTTCAATTAGGAACCCTATTCCTGCATCTGCCTCAAAGATAAAGACAGAACTTCCATCTTAATTTTTAGTATTTATCGAGGGGTTCAGTTGCTCCAAATAATCTGGAATGATTTGGGCACGTAACAACAGACAGCAAAATTGCAGCAATTTTTAAGCAGAAATAGCCCCACTGAAATGTCAGTCCTACCCTGACATGTGTAAAACCACCTGTGTACCTTTAAAGGAAAGTAAAGCTTCAATGCCAAGTTGTTGGTTTGGTTTTTTTTCCCCCTTCTTTCTTCTTCCTTTTCTAAGTCTGGAATTTCATTTACTGATTAAATCAGGCCTTTAAAAACCTTCAGTATTTTCAAAATACAATATTCTGTATTTCAGAACACTGTGCTTCGAGACTGCACTTAAAAATGGCACTGCCATCAGGGGGTGTAAGTGGAATTTATGAAAGATAACTACATAAAAAGATACATATGAAAAATAAAAGGTAACTACGGTTCTAATTCTGAAGGACTCACTGAAAATACAGGATTCCCAGAAGTTTCCAGGAGCCTTTTTTCCATGTGTCCCTTAAAGGTGCCAGTGGCCAGCAGGTGCAGGCTCACCTTCACAAGGACCCAGCTGCCAGTTCAAGTGAAAACTGAGCTGCAGGTGCTGCCTTTCTCCCTGAGCTAGATCTGGGAATGTGTTTCCCAGGAAGGGAATCACTCCTGTTGATGTACATCTTGGAGCAGCGTGTCCAGGGGTCCTTCTCAACTCACAAATCAGTGTAACTTGGATGAGTTTCCTCTCCAGTTGTTGCTGAGTGTGGTCAGGGTTCCCTCAGGTCCCTCTGCTTGTCCCAGATAGTCCCAACTGGGAATTGCTCCAGCACAGGGGCAATGGTGGAGCTGGACACGCTGGATCCCAGCCCTGGGACAGGCTGCTGGAATCATTAACCCTGCCCACTGCCTGGGACCTGCTCTCCTGCAGGGAGAGGGGGCTGCCTTCCCTCCAGACTTCCCAATTTTCCATCTTGGCCGAGTTACACCCTTCCAAGTAAATATCCAGCCCACAGAAGCATTTCAAAGCCCCCCGAAGTTCTCAAGCAGCAGAGCCCCAGTTAAATGAGTCATGTCTCTCACCAGGGCTCAGAAAAGCCCTTTGGCTGCACAAATCTGCATTTCCAGTCCCCTTCTGCCTGGGAAAAGCCACAAAAGGAGAACAGCAGAGCACAAAGCAGAGGCAAAGCTCTGAATTCCACACTCACTTGTCGCTCGGAGTTTTCTTTAAGTGCTTCCAGTGTCTTTTCAAGCTGTGCTTTCTCTTTCATCAGATCTTTACTCAGGTTTTGACTGTTCTGGAGACTTTGTTTCTCTTGGCTCATTTCATTCTCCAGCTCTTCCAGCTGGGAAAAGAGAGACACTTTTTTTTTTTAAATGCTCTTAAAGAAAATGACATTTGTATTACTCTTAGCTTGAAGGCACCCTCACAGGAATCAATATATAAAACACAGAAAAGAAGACATAAAATGGAATTTTCTCATCTTTAATTGAAACAACTAATTTCTTCTGGGAATACATTTACTTCTGCCATAATTTTCTCCCTGGCTCAGCAGATTGTATCTATAAAGTACTTTTGCATATATAAAAAAAAAAGAAAAAAAAAGGGTCAGGTTTTCTTAGGCTCTGGATATTTCCCCAAGCATCTTTTTTTTTCTCTCTTCAAATTCCATTTTACTGAGATTTATACTGCTCCTCCAAGTGCCTCTTAACTTATAAAGGTTGAATGCTGTTTGATCTTACTTAACTATTTCAAGAGATAATTACGATGACTCCTTGGGAATTCCACATTAGGTTGGTTTTGTCAATGGGTTCCAACTCAGTGTCACCAGACAGCACAGCTATTTAAAATTTAAAATACCCAAGCATGATTTTTTTGTTTTCTTTTGGTCCCATTTAAGCCATAATAAGTTAATTAGCAGCAACACACACGGGGTACTTTTAAACAATCATCTGCTGGAAGATCTGCACACGATGTCAGGTCCACTGTCCACGTAACTCAGACCCTGCACAGGGGAATGTTTAGGAGCAAATCACCTGGATGAGACAGTAATTGCTGCTAAATAGGAGAAATAGATTCACCAGAGGGCAGGAGGCTGGAATTGGATCCCCCATGAAGCAATTTGTTGACCTAAATCCCATCTGTGCTTCTCACACCTCTTCCTTGCTTTGGTACCTCCCCGTGCCCCTGGGGCACTGCACAGCAACTCCCAGCACAAAACTCAGGGAATTAGGGAATACAGGAGGGATTTCTTTCAATTCTCCCTTTTTTAATTTTTTTTTTTAATTATCTCTTACCCACTCTAAGAATAGCCTTTCACTTGGAACAGCTGCTGAAGGAAAAGCTATTTCAGGAACTTTAGACATTTCACTCCACTGTAATTAGTCAGGTTTTTTTCCCCAAAATTTTTATTTTCTATAAATATCACTGCCTGAATTAGTCTCTTTGATATATATAATTTGAGCAGTAAAACACTGTAGATAGCACAGGCTAATCTGACAAATTCCTCTCTTCACCTGCTCATCAATTCCTTGACCCACCTTCCTGCTTTCTCAGCTAAGAATGAGGGCACGGGACCAACTTTCCACATGCACTTTCTCCTGCTTAATACGTACAAAAATTCCTGTTCCTAAGTACCCTAAAACACTCTCATTTCTCATTACATCCCAAATATGTTAATGTTTTTCCCTCAGTGGTGTGACTTTATTTTTTACCATAACACCATTTAGACCCTCGTAGTACTTGACCAAAAATAACAGCGATTGAGAAAATCATCCTTTAGAAAGAAAATGGCAGCTCACACCCAACGCCCTCACCTTTTTGCTAAGTCTTTGGTTTTCCTTCTCCATCTTGAGGATCCTGGAGCTGCTGCCTTCCACAGAACCCACGGCACTTTGCAGTTCTTCCACTGTCTTCAGCAAACTTTGGTTTTCCATCTCCAGCTTCAGCAACCTGCTTGAGGTCAGCTCGTTCACCTCGTGGCCCAGTGATTTCTGCGGCACTGCAGCAGAAAAGCACCATTATTGGGAAAAAAAAAGAAAGGGATTTTAAACTGCAGTTCTTGTGACTTTGCATTTTCAGACTCAGGGGATTTAGCAGCCTCTGAAGGCTCTCCAAGGCCTTCTTGGATTAATGAGCCAGCAGGTAATACTGCAGATGCATCAAAGGAAATGTTCTCCTCTCCCAGTGTTCCTAATCCCAGCAGAGATTTGTTTCCCACAACTCAGGGCGTGCCTCTCAATTCCCACAAATGCTTTCCATGGGATCCAGTGTATCACCAGGCACGTTACACTGGGATAATCCACGTTTTTGCCCCAGCTATCCCTGCAAACAACTTCTTCTTAACTCTGAGAAGAGTGAGGCCAGAACAGTCATGATCTGCTCTGAATGGCAACATAAAATAAGTTCAAGGTACCGGTGGGGTTTACACCACCAGTTAACTGAACAGAGTGATGAGAACAGACCTCTCATGGAGGCTGTATCTCCAAGGATGCCTGGGAATGAGCACCTCTCCAGAGGACAACACACTGTACTTCAGAAATAAGGACCTTTCACTTCCCAGCGCTGCGCAGCCTCTGAGGTGTCAATTGTCCTATTTCGTGGCTTTGCAGGGTCAACTGTTCCGTTTTACCTTCCGAGAGCTCCGTAGTCCTGTTGATCTGCTCCAGCTCCCAGCCAAGGTGCAAAGATTCATCCATGCTTTGCTTCTGAGCCATTTCTAGGGTCATGTTCTCCTCCATCAGCTCCTCGATCTTCTTCCTGTCCATGTCGCGCTCCTGGAAAATGACTGCCCGTGTTAAGAAAGCCCCCTGTGTGTGCTCAGGGTTTTATTCTCTGGCGTGTCACAGACAAGGGTAAACTGCATTTTAGGATTTGCTGATCAGATTTCCTCCCTCCCAGGTGAGATGGGGGAAAAAAAAGGCAAAAGTAGGGAGAATTTTGGAGGGAAGAGCAACAACCAGTAAAGCAGAACGTGCAGAGAGGAACCTGTTCTCCTCATACCCTACAGCAATGGTCCTTCACCTTTTCCAAATTCACTTCTTTCCAAAGAGCAGGAAAGGGAGTATCCAGGATAAACACAGCATTCAAGTGACAACAGACTGCTTTCACATTCAAAAGATTGATCCTATAGCTCTTACTAACGTGCCAGTAAACCAAGAGGCACCTTCCTTCTCTGCCCCACTATTTTGGAGGTTCTTTTATTAAAAATGGGCACGAAATTCAGTGTGCACCGGTTGTCTTGTCCCCCTGCCCCACCACTTACCATCTCCATGTCATGCAATTTAGCTTTTAATTGCAGATTCTCCTTCTCTAACTCGTGCAGTTTGTCTGAACGGGCTCGAGTCCCCTCCAGCTGATCTTCCAACATTGTCTTTGTTTCCAGCAGCACTTGATTGTCTTCCTTTAACTCCTGCAGGAATTAAGAAACAACAACAACAACAAAAAAATCTTAAATCAAAAGCATTTCCTTGTTCACACAAATGTCACCACCAGTTTTAGAAACCTAATGCCAAAAAGATTCCTTTGGAAGCTGGAACAGACCTTTTATAAAACAACACATTTGCAGCAAGTTCACATAAACTGTAAATTTATGACAACAAAATTTCACATAAACGAGATTAAATGGTCCCTAAACCACGAGGAATAACTAAGGTGTTGATAATTATAAGCAAACATGAATATCTCTGTGATTTGAGCCGTGACCTGGGAAGATGTACTGCAGGTACAGTCCATAATTAGGTTTATAGGCCACTGGGCCCAAAGTCAGGCCATGATGCTGCAAATGTATCCACATCCTGAAAATACCACCAGCCATTCCCAAAGGTCCTGAACAGCTTTAATTTCTGTACACAGAGGATTTCTTTTAATGGCATCTGGTGGCAATAACGTGCAGAAATATATAATTGGCAATTCTACTCATGATACAAAGACAAAACTTTTCAAATTTCAGCACAGTCAGCTGCAAAATCTCAAAAAAAGATCAGTAAAACATAAATATTTATCCATCACACTCCTCCTCACACAAATATTAAATCATATTATTATTATTATTATGAAGCAAACCCAACTAATTGACAGCTGCCTCTATTGAAAAATCAGATAGTTTACAAGCTTGAAACACATCCACAAATTTTAGGGTTTTTAGTAGTTTAAGCGTTCTATGAAAATGAAATTCCCCCTGGTTTCAAATCCTGTACACTAATCTCTTTTCCTCTACCAATTCCTTTATCACATGGCACTTGCCCAATGAACTTGGCATTTCCAGACAGAACGGTGGGCTAATGAAATCCTGCATGTTGATTTGCTTCCCAAGTTATTAATTCAGGGAACCGTCAGTCTGCCTCACCTGCTGCCAGCACATCTTTGTTTAGGGTGTTTTATGCAGGGAATACCACTGTGCTGGACACATTTATGTGAACAGCCACCACTTCCTCAACACCTGACTTTGAGAAGTGTCTTCCCTTAGGAGACCCACGAGAGGAGAGAGAGATGATTGTATTTACAGCATTTTTTAAATTACCCTTTCCTTGGGTTTCTCAGTATATCCCCCACATGATTGCACTAGCTGTGGTGAATGCTGCTGCCCTCCATGCCACCAGACACGGGGATTCCTCCCTCAAGAGCGGGATTTGTCCCAACCGCCCGGCTATCCCATCCCACAGCCAGGAGCTGGAACGCCATTTTCACACCCCAACACTGAAGTTATTCGAATAACTTGTTGTGTGGGGGTTATTTCCCCCCCCGGCTGTACCTCCACTCGGGCTTTGTAGAACTCGATGTCGTGCAGCCTCTCCTTGTAGCGGCCGAGCTCGCTCTCCAGCTTGTCCACGCGGATCGCCTTCTCCCGCAGCGCGTCCAGCTCGTCCCGGTACACCCTGGCTGAGCGCGCGTCCGACAGCAGGCCCATGTTCTGCGGCGGGGACACAAACACAGCCGCTGCAGCCACTGCGGGACGTGCTCAGCGGGCACTGCAGGGCAGCAGCAGCTCATCCTGGCACAGGGACAGCACAAACCGAGCTCGGGACACTCCACCCGCAGCAGGAACGGCCAAGCGCTCCCAGGAAGTTTACACACTCACATCCCAAGAGTAAACTAAACACGCGTTTGCCCCCACTGTCAGCACACAGGCTCGAAGCGTAAAGAAAAACCAGACAAAACTGATCTCCAGAATACACGCTCAGAGGGTACGCTGCTGGCAAACTCTGGAGAGCGGTTTTTGTGGAGATGAAAAAAAAAAAATCAGAGAAGAAATGCTAATCTATCTGAGAGTATTTTTTTCCAGCATAATAGACCAACTAAAGGAATAAATTACACCAGATCGTGTTCAGAGTGCAAGATCAAATAAGTAATATTGATGGAATTATTAATTACTTATTAATATCAAAAAAAGGGGAATTGTTCTGGTGGAGGCAACACCTTTTTTACCCCTCCTTTTTTTTTTTAAACATACCTCTTGCTGAAGTCTCTTCAGTTCAGCTTCCATCTGTTCAAGTTCTTGTTTACAGTCAAGCAGCTGCTCAGTCTTTTCCTCCCTTGAAAGACAGAACACAAACCAGTTAAATGTGACCACAAAACCTGCTAATGATCATCTCCTCTGAGAACCAAATGCTGGTTCATGACACTTCCACCTTCTAATCCACCATCTCAGGGATATTGTGTCCCTAAGGTTTCAGTCTTTAGTCAATCTTTTAAATTTGCTCAGACTTTTCACAGTCCTTCAAGTTGTTCACAAGATTTCCTGCTTGTGCAGGGTAGAACACAGGGTGTAATAAGGGAATTTTTGTAAAAAAACCCCAAAGAATACACATGAATACGTACCAGGAGATTCACACCCAAAAGGAAACTCAGAATTATTTCCAAATATACCCTGGAAAGGTCTAAATATTTTCCAGTGACCACTGATGCATCCTGTCACAGATCACGTAAAACCAGTTTTAAAAGCACTTCTATATGTTGGTTCTGTAATTTTTCTTTTTCTTACAGAGGAGAAATAAGATTTGCAGGTGCCTCTACTCAATTGATTAAGATTGTGCCTAATAACCTCAAGAATTTAATGAAACACATAATGAATTTTAGTTCTATGGAAACAAGTGTCTTAGCCTACTCAAATCTGGGATAAATCCAATTTGTCAGAGGATATCACAATTCTTACAGGACTCCTCCTTGAATTCCAACTAACACTTCTCAATCCTTCAAAAATGACTTTGTCAAGCCATGAGCAAGTGCAAGGGAATAATTAACTGTCTCAAAGACACACAATACCTGATGCTCAATATTCAGCTGCCCCTCAGAACACACAGAATCCACTGCCCCATCCTACACTGTATAATCTTACAGGATATATTGCATATTGAAAGGTGCTGCTGTGTGAATTATAAAAGTGTGTAAGGGGGAAATAGGAGAATTGAATGGACTGAAATGTATGATGCAATCTGAAAGCCAAACCACACTAATAAAAAATAGATGTGTTTTAAACCAAACCAGAGCAGTTGCTGTCAGGACTGAGCCAACTGCACCCCGAGTGACGTTTCTGCAAGCAGCCATTGTTTGGAGAAGGTCAGTGAGCTCCAAACACAGCTGAGTGCAGCATCCCTGCCCACAGACACCGGGTGTCCTGCGTTCCTGGGGCTCCTCCAGGACCATTCCCACCCCTGTCACCGTCCCACACGGCAAACCAGCTGTGCCATTGCCAGCTCCAGGGTTCCTGTGCTCCCTGGTTTGCATCCAAGGGAGAACCAATCTTTGCAGACCATTTCAGATGACGTTACAGCAGCCTGGGCACACGTTAAACCAGGTATGGAGGCCAGATTAGAAGGAAACGTTAAGTTGAATATTTTCGACTCTGGAATTCATGTGACTGCAAATCAAATCAAATTGATGCAGCATTTACCAGTGAACGCTGCAGCCAGAAGTTAACGTGGCCAAGTCTGGTGTTTTAAAGATACTGCTGCACGCAAAGGAAATTTATTTAGGGACTGAATTCAAATCAGGGTGTAAAACATGAACTGTTCTGAGCCATCAGTGCTGCCCTAATTGCATCCTTCAGCTCCACGCTGGAGAGGATTGGACTAAATTATACAGAAGATCCCAGTGTTCACTGTTTAGGCTATCTATTAACTGTCAATCAAACTAATAACAGCAATTTTTTCACTAATTTTCTCGGTGCAGCTGTTTATAGAATATCCTGGGCGGGCTCATTTCAGCAGACACACAATAATACAGACATCAGGAAAAAAGAGCCCCCTCTTTTGTCCTCTGTTCCTCGGGAACACCACGATGTGGTGGGGGAAGGGGATCCGGGGAGTCAATCAACAAGATACTTAATCCAGCCAGCTAGAAATGATCTGATCAACAAACTCTGACACCAGCAGGGCAGCACACTGACAACTGCGACTCATGCACCTTCAGCTGGTTATTTCACTTACCTGTCTCCTCTCTCTGCTGGATTTTAAAAAAATAATCTTTAAATAAAGCTGTTTCTACACTATAGCAAGTGACTGCACATGCTGAACCTCTCCAAGTTTGACATCTGTATTCTTAATGCACAACACACACTTCATTCTGCTAAAACAACAGATTCTCCACAGGTCTGTTATTGTTCTCCTCTTTAAACAACTCTTCACTCTGCTCAGATTTGTTCCTAGATTTAAAGACAAAGTACCCACTGATACCTGCTGGATCAGGAGTAGCCTGCAGGAGAAAACCAGTGTTGTGCAGACAAGAAACCTTTTACACAGAAAGAAATAAAGAGATGGGATCAGGAAACTATTCCAATGTAGTTTTTTGCGCTGTCTGCAACAAATGTAAACACTTCATGAACCGTGAATGAACCCAAGGTGTGTTTCCAACACGAAGCACGTCCCAATCACGCTGCTGAGCAGGAACCACTTCTGCACCATCTCCTCTTAAAAGGGTATTTTTGCCACTGATCCCTGAATGGTCAGCACACAGCTCTTGCTTCCAGTCCCCACCTGCCTGCCCTGTGTAATTGTTGTTGAGTGTGCCACCCCGTCGCTGCCTCAACTGCAAAGATATTCTCTTAGGGACACAGCTGAGCACACAAATACTGCAACTGCAGTCAGACACTCATTAGTGATAATGAACAACAGAGGAGGCACAAAGAACTTGCCTCTGAAACAACAATATTTACAAAATATGGAAAAGCAGAAGGGTTGCATTAAATTAGCTGTGAGTATTTCTGAGAGACGAGTTCTGTGGAGCAAAGAGCCCATCCCTGTGCTGTAACTCACCCCATGGACTGCTCGAACATAGCCAGTTTTTCAGGGTGCTCTGAGCATCAGAGACACAGAACTGGCACAGATTTCAGAGTGTTTATAGCTAAGACATCCATGTGATCCAGAACACAAACTCAGACAAGAGGAGAAGCTGTATTTGCCACGTGGGCCCACAAACCTGTTCCAAGTATAAAAATACTCTTCCAGACAATCCCTGTCAACCAGTGATTTACCATTGGGAAGGATGAAGGAGTTTGTCTGAAGGCCACTCCCAGTGTACAAAAACGAGCCTTTTCACCCGAACACAGGTACTCACAGCTCTTGCCTGAGCCTTCTGATCTTGGCTTTGGCATCTGCCAGCTCCACCGAGAGGTGCTGCCGGCTCTCCGTGCGCTTCATGCCGGGGGAGCCGCACGGCGACTGCGCTGCCGACGCGTGAGGCAGGAACCGCAGACAGTCCCGCTCCTCTGACAGCTCAATGATGGTCTGCACAGCACGAACACAGAGACACAGAGGGAATACAGCACTGCCTGCACACAGCCACGCACCTGCTCCGTTCACAAACCAGACTGCAGCCATGCGGGAACAGCAGAAAGGTTTGAGCCCTAGAGAACTTCACAGCCCTGCTTGCACCCCCACACCCAGAAAGCAAAGAGCCACAGGTATTTACCGGGATCATCTGGCTCCTTGATTTTTAACTTGCAATTCAGACGTTTTTAAGTGCACAACACTGTCAGTGCTCAGAATGGATTGGGCAGGGAAAGGCAGGAATCCCTGGGATGTGAGGATAAATGTGTGTCTCTGAAGATGTTCTGGGGCGAGCAGCAGCATCCCTGCCAGCTGAGTGAAGCACCAGACCCACAGGAATATCCCTATTTCCTCAGATAAGTAAGAGGGTTATCCAAATACGAAGATCTCTGGCATTTTACAGCTATTTTTCCTTTGCTTTGCAAAAAAGCATCACCACACATCCTCTACCCTCCTATCGAGGCTGTGAACTGCAAAAGTAGTTGCTATCCATCCAAGGAACATTGGGAATAACTGTACATTGACACAGCCACACTGCACTGAGGGGAAACCTGGGACCAGCAAGATGGTTCATAACCCCTAATTGTTATTAAACACACTTCTGTCTCTTGACTCTCACACGGCACAACAAACGTGCCTCGCGACAATCCCGGCCTCGTGTTTCCCTTTCCAACCCCAATCCGTACCTCGGAGTGCTCATCTCTCTCATCTATGAGTCTTTTCAAATGCAAAGCCATGTTTTTCAAGAGAGGTTCCACATACTCCTGTGTCAACACAATGACATCCATCCACTGCAGATCAAACACGTTTTCCTGGTTGTGAGTTACCTACATGGGACGGAACGAAAGAGAAAAAAATGCCCTCTAGAACTTGTCAGAGTAGAAAGGAAGCACAGAGAAAATAAAGCTGCAACCCTAGGGGTTAAATCCTCTAGACAAGGGAGGAAAATGTTAATATATTGTTTTAATATGTTAAATTGTATGTAATGGAAGAGCTGCTTGGCTACCTGAAAGCAGCCCCTTGTACCTCTGGCAAAGCAAAAAGCAAAGGGTGGCTGTGACTTATTATATATCACAAATATGGGACTGGGATTATATTTTATAAACAAATCTGCAGAGGAAAGTGTCATTAAACTTAATTTGCTGTAACTCTTAAGAATGCCTTGAAGCAACAGACTTCCTTCCTGGTACTGCTTCAACAGTGAAACCCAAAAATGTTTTTTCCCTTGATTCACAAAAAGATTTCAGGATGGAGCAAAGACTTGTTTTGCTTACTGAGACCCCTAGATATGCAAATCACACGTTTGATTTACCTGCTTTTGAACAAATGCAATTCATCTTCCTACAATGCAGTCTCACACCTCAAAAAATAAATGAATTAAAAGCACAAAAACAACCCCTCAATATACCTCCTGGATGTGGGCTGCAACAGCTGCTCTGGTGTCAAAATCCAGGCCCTGGATTCTTTCAATAAACTCTTCTTTTTTCTGACACTAAAACACAAAGACACCTGTTTTATATATGTTTATATATATCAGCACAGGCATTTTCATTCCTCTTTTCTATTTCTAAGATTCAATGACTTATAAAGTTGCAACGATCCCATGACTGAATTATTATCCCCTTGGTTTATACCAAGCTACAGTGATTGTAACTTTTCAACACTAATTTAATGATAAAGGAAAAGCAGGCTGAAATGGGGCAAGGAAATAACAGAAATAGCTCCTTATTCAAATGTTATGACAGGGTGTTTATTAAATACATGGAATAGATTCAGTAAGATGTATCAGCAAGATAATTCTCAGTTCTTTACTATTTTCTCCCTCTCTTTACAGCATCAGGTAAGTGAACACTATTGAAATGAATGAACTATTAGAAATTCCATGTTTTTGCAATAAGAGGTGCAGGGTTGTAGCCATTTTAACTGTGAGAATACTGAGATTTTAGAACCACTGGAGGAAGGGAGGTCAAAGTTTTACACCACCTCAGGCATTAAAATGGTGAGAAAAGAGAACAGTAACAGCTCAAACATTTTCATACATATGTAAACATAATTAAACCCACCTGAACTGCACAACCAAGTAAAAGCAGGAGGAGCTTTTTGACTTCTTCAGTACCTGGCTCTAAGGAGAACACAAGAAGAAAAAATGGTAGTTGTAAAGTGGTAATTTGAGCTTCTTCCCCCACCCCTCAGAAAACATCAGGATTCCTCACTATTTCCACTAATGTATGTTAACTTTGTTTAGAAAACAGAGGAGGAAACCCCCATCTTCCCACCTTTCAGCTCAGTTCTTTTTGCCATTTCCCTGTCCATTTTCAGAGTTAAGAAACCAACATCCATAACATAATAATTTCAAGTGGACAAAAAAACCCCAACATAAATTCAGCCCCTCGAGAAGCAAAACTTCGGAGTGCCCCTTTCAGAAGTGCTCTGGAGACCAACAATCAGGTTTTCAGTGGTAACCTCAGGCACCTCCAGACAGTGACACCAGTGCTTAAATTCCCTGCCACCCCCCCAAGCTGGGACAGTTTAGGTGACAAGTTCATTTCAACTCTTTCCCAAAGCTGCATTAGATATTCATCTGCACATCTAAAAATCAAAATGTATTTCCAAATCTGGCCTTAAGCATCTTAATCTCCTAAAGAAGCTTAAGTCAAAGAACTCTGTTTACAGATTAGTAAAAATGTTTCTTACTTTTTACATTCAGAATGTCCCTGTCTTGCTACTAAATATAGAAGCACAGTCTATATCTAGAATATAAATGCCATGAAGCAAAGCCTTCAAGGAGGGCAAAATAGCTCAGGCCTTGGCTCAGCCCACCTCTTCCAGAGGGAGCTAAATTATGTGGATAATCCCAGTGAACACAGAATGTTTGATTTTTTTTTCAAGGGAGCTTTGCCAAGTTGTGAAGAACATGAACTCAAATGGGAGGCTTTTAATCATTTATACACTTCCTGTATCCCAAAGACTCGAGCTGGGAAGCCTTTTAGGTAGGAACAGAAAAAACATCACTGGACATGTTTTCCCAGAAGCCACTTTGGCTAAGGAAGGGGAATCCCACCTGGCTGCCTGTCTTAATGAAGGTTGACTGGAATACTCTAACAGGAGAATCCATCCCAACAGCTCACATTCTATATATCCCAGTAAATTAATCATACTGTTTTATTTTGCAAGCAAGCCCTGAACTCCTCTTGACTCACCAGCTCCTGACTGGTTTTGAGACACCTACCTGAATATTGGTTCCTTGTCTTTGTCCCACATTCCCTGAAGGAACACTCCAAAATACTGACCAGCCCCTGCCTCCCTCTGCTGCCAAACGTGCTGAACGCTTTGCTTCCTTTCCCTCCACCACAAATGCAGAAACAATCATTCTCTTCTACACCCTCCAACCTGCTGCTTCAGCTTTGTCCCTGCCCCGTGCTCACTCTTATCCCTGCCTTTCCCTCCTCCCCTGGACTGCTCCCTCAGAAGCAGGGCCTTGCTTTAATCTCCCCCCTTCCCCCGTTAAGGACCGTTTGCCTCGTCATTATCTCCTCTCCCCTTTCCCCCTGTAATTTAATTTCCCATTTCCAGGCTGCAGCTCCTCTCCTCCAGCTGGCTTCCTGCCAATTAGCTGAGCTGAGATGTTTCCTGATCGAGTCCCCGCTGATCTGTTTGGTCAGAGCCCAACCCCAGCATTCCACCTGTGCCTTCCCGGCCACCTCTCACCCTCACCCCTCATCTGCTCCTGCAATTCCTTACCTTCTGCTGGCTCTCTGCTGGTCATTCCCTCAGTGCACAGTGGTGCAAAGGGAACGAGCAGGAGACACTCCTGTGAAAACTCCCAGCTCCAGCTGGAGCGGAGCAAATCCCAATGATTACCAGAGATGGACTCGCCTTGGGGCAACCAGATTGACACTGCGGGTCTCTCCAACAGCCCTGCCCTTGCCCACCAAATACAGCTCAAAAACCCAGCTTGCAATGAGATCCTTCTCAGTCTGACACAGCGAGCCCTGGCTTCCAAAGGGGAGAGACTCTGGATGGAACCCTGGCTTCCAAAGGGGAGAGGCTGTGGATGGAACCCTGGTTTCCAAAGGGGAGAGGCTGTGGATGGAACCCTGGCTTCCAAAGGGCAGAGGCTCTGGATGGAACCCTGGCTTCCAAAGGGGAGAGGCTCTGGATGGAACCCTGGCTTCCAAAGGGGAGAGGCTCTGGATGGAACCCTGGCTTCCAAAGGGGAGAGGCTCTGGATGGAACCCTGGCTTCCAAAGGGCAGAGGCTCTGGATGGAACCCTGGCTTCCAAAGGGGAGAGGCTGTGGATGGAACCCTGGTTTCCAAAGGGGAGAGGCTCTGGATGGAACCCTGGCTTCCAAAGGGGAGAGGCTGTGGATGGAACCCTGGTTTCCAAAGGGGAGAGGCTGTGGATGGAACCCTGACTTCCAAAGGGCAGAGGCTGTGGATGGAACCCTGGCTTCCAAAGGGGAGAGGCTCTGGATGGAACCCTGGCTTCCAAAGGGGAGAGGCTGTGGATGGAACCCTGGTTTCCAAAGGGGAGAGGCTCTGGATGGAACCCTGGCTTCCAAAGGGCAGAGGCTGTGGATGGAACCCTGGCTTCCAAAGGGGAGAGGCTGTGGGTGGAAGCCAAAGGACCAGGCCTATCTCCCGATTCAGACCCTGCCGCGTGCTGGACTGGGGCAGGAACCTGAAACACCTGCAAAGGATGTTGCCCAAACATGACAATCCTCTTTCAGCACGAGGGCTGTGCTACAGGGAATGCTGATCTTCTCCCAAATCCAGCAGGTCCCCTCAGGAGAGCAGTGCACACACCAGCAGAGGTTCCAGCTGCAGAACCACAAAGGCTGCACAGATTTAGCCGAGATCCCAAAACACAAAGACACCTCCCTGTTAATGACTAAAGCACAGAGTTTTTATGGATGCAACTAAATACAATATTATCTCTGGGGGGTTTATAGTGCATTTTAAACAATATTTCATCTTACACTACACAATATTGAGACACTTTGTCTCAGTATCTTGGAGAGAATAATAAACATCACTAAAAAATTCTACCACCTGGGGTTTTTTTAACTCTGTTTTTTCCATTAAATCCATGGAGCCTTTCGAAAACCTTAAGAAAGCCTGGAATCAAAATAGAAAAGCACGGTGCATTCCACTGTCTTGGAAAAGAAGAGACCACATTGACACTTCTTGTGCATATGACAGCAGCTACACACAGAGAAACTCAAAAGGCTGTGACCTCAGCAGCGAAAGCAGCAATATCCAAAAGCAGCGAGTCCAAAAAAGAATTAAAAAGCCAGATACCTACACCAATGGCATGTGTGCAGATGGGATGGGGGAAATAGCAAGGTTATGAACCTCGGGATTGCAAAGTGAGGAAACACAGATGGCTCTTCTGGCTCATGAGGAAGCCCTGGTGTCACAGACACGGACGCATGGATAGGAGACATCCCAAAAACATGAAACAAGCCAGGGGAAGCTGCACAGCCTGCTAGAGGAGCTCCTAACCTCTCTGCTGAGGTGTCAGAACATCAGGAGAACCTGGGACACACTAGACCCAAGTAAATAAACTCTGCCCCATCCAGAGTGGCTCCATGCAGGCCAGGTGTGTCTGCTCCGTGCTTCTGGAATTGAGAGCATGGTGCAGAGATTCCCGAGAGGCTGTGGACAGGCAGCTGGCTCCACACAGGCCAATTGTCCGGGGCTGAAAATTGCAACTCTCAGAGCTGGAAGCAGAGAAGGTGGGAGCATGGAGAAGACAGTGTCAGTTCAGGGGAGAAAGCAAGAAGGTCAGAGCAATAACTGTCAGGTAAGGAGGCAAGAGAAGCAGGGGATTTGGGGGAAGGGAAAACAGGGATCAGGAGCTGGATCGAGTGAGATGCACTGAACTGCCCATTTCCTCAGCGCTGACACAGGTAAAGGAAGTTGGAAGTGGAGTAGCTGGGGGTACAGGACACTTAAACTCTGGGCTATCACTGGCCCCCTGGCTGCTGGGAAATGAACTCTGGTCCAGTATAAATCCTGAGAGAGGGACAAATCACGCTTTTGCATAGTGTGGACCCTTTGTGTGAACAAAGAAAACCACGATTAAATCATTAAACCATTCCTCATCGTCATTAACCCACTTATTTGCTGAAGTATTCACACAATTTTCTGTCGAAAGGCTCAATCCTATACGAATTTTACTGCCAGTGAACTCACACAAATTATCACACGTTTTTATCTTAGCCAAAAATAAACTTACCAGAAAAGGGATTTTTGCCAATTATTAACACGTTTGGCAGAGACATCATGATGAGCTGCTGCAAGTTCTCCTGTAAAAGTTAATCAAAATATCATTTGCACCATATGTACTGGAGGAAAGCAAACATCAAATACCAACAAACACTAAAGAGAAATCGGTGTTACAGAAATAGTCTGGATTTTTTTTCAGATCTTAATGCATAGATGTGAAATACTTAATTATCTGGGCTCTAATTAAAACACCCAAACTCCCAAGCATGAGTTGGTGCTACAAAAGCCCTGTTTTTACTGGTTTGCACGGTCATCTCCACACAGCAAAATCCTCTCGTGGCAATGAGCTGGCTTATGGATCTTAAGCCAACTAGATCCTCAGTGAGAATGCAGCAAAAACCCCTTTAAATTATTCTGTTTGTGTTTCCCTGGGTAAGTTATTGATAAATGTTTATTTTCTGGGCTCTAAGCCACTGCATTTGCAGTGCAAAATATGAGTTTCCTCTGTTTGCCGTCCACGGTCTCTGTGGCTCCACCAAAGCGTGGATGGGAAAATCCCAGGGGATTTGGTGCAGTGGCACTGGGACAGCTGTGAACATAAAGGTGCACCCCCCCTGTGTGCACAATCCCAGGGAATTTGATGGAAGCACCAGCTACCAGGCAGCAGCTCTGCTTGTCTGCCCCTCAGATTCCATCAATGGAGAGTTGCCTGGCCAGGAGCGGCTGTAATCGGGTCAAATCCTCAGTCTAGACAGAGCCTAATTCTCCTGAAGCACAGTAGTCTTCCTCCTGTTCCCAGATGTTTATTCCCAGCAGATGCCATCCTCTCAGCAGCTCGGGAGCCAGGCTGTTTGTTTGTCCTCAGTGACAGATTCATTAATACAGAAAATGCTCCTGCTCAAAAGCAACGTATTCCACAACAGCACATCTGAGGTGTCACACCCTAACCTAAAAACCTAAGGAAAGCCCACTATTCCTTCAAAAACACCTGTAGGAATTCTTAGTTATAGCTACACTTGCAAGTTGCCACCAGCTAATATAGAACATAAAAACATTATACCTGAATGGATTAATACTATATGCACTTTCACAGCCTGAGACAAGCCCTGAGGAGGAAGGAAGCAGCTCTGACCTACTCAAAGATCATGAATTTCAACCAAGCTGTACCATCTGCTTGCTGGAGACCATTTTCAAAGACATGAAGTGCCCCACAGGATGTTTTAAATCAATGCAGAACAGATGAACCCCAAGGAATTCAACGAGTATTTAGAGCTACCATGAAAGAAAACCACACCCTGTTACAAAGTGGGGGCGTGGGGGCTTTTTTGGTGGGGTTTTTTGGTAATAGCTCCAGTGACTGCAGGCTGCTGTCACAAAGCTGATGATGCCATACCACGAGGCAGAGTGTGAGCAGCAGTAACCAACAGATGACACCATCACCTGCTTCCTTACAACACCTCAGCCTCGCTCCAGAGGTGTGTGCCACCTTCTCTGTCACCCTGCCTTAACTTCAGCACCCGCTCCCAACCTGGGTGTCCTTCTGGAAAAAAAATCCCCTGGATATTTAAACTCTGGTTTAAGCTGCAGAAATCCATTCAGCCCGTTTACAAAATTCTGCCTCGCCTGTACAAACTTTTAGAGCTCAGGAGTGTTTACTTTCCTCAAGCCTTCCACATCCCATTTTCATTTTGCACGTTATGATGTCCCAGCAGAGCAGCTTTGTTGACGAGCACAAACACAGCACTGATGCAATTACTTGCTGAACTGAGAGGGCATTTTCCACAGGTGTCATAAAAACACACGGAATAAACTCAGACAGACAAGCTCACAATAAGAAGCTTTAAGAGTTAGGTTAAACTAATGCTAAAAATTAAAAATCCCCGTGTCCACGTCTGATTCCTGCTGTAACATTCCAGGCATGGAGAAACGCTGGATCTCACTGCAGGGACTGCTTTCCACGTTCCCTGCTCTTGGATCTCGGGATCCAGGGAACACTGGGAAGCACTCAGGTGTGAGGGCTCCTACCCCAGGCTAGGAGAGGCCTCTCAGTTCAATTCCAGGGCATCCATCAAGCCCAAGATTTCCTGCCTGGAGGAATTTCACAGGTGACAGGAACTCAGCTGACCCTTCCTTGGAGCTGAGGTTGCTGAGCTGCCTCTCCCACATTCCCCCCGGGCTCTGCTGGGCTGCTCTGAGCTGCAGGGGGAGCAAAGGCTACAGCCCACCCTTTATCCCCAAAACAAACCCTTATTCCTGCAGTGTTTCCACATTCCCTCACACTGTGGCACCTCACAAGTCCAAGAAACTGGGGAGGGAAAGGGGGGCAAAGCGTGTAAAACAAAATTGTTGTTCAATCTTCAAAGGCGTGGTTTTGACATTTCTTAAAATAAGAATGCTTTTTCACTTTAAAGAAAGGTGTAACACTTTCTCTCCCAAAGGTTGGGAGCAACATTGACCTAAGTGCCAGGAATTCTGCCTGGAGCTGGGGGACGGGCTGATACTGTGAGGCCACAGGGAACACTCTGTGCTCCAATAAAGATCAATCCCGTCAGTGCCCGTGCCTTCTGCTGCACCAGTTGTGGAGCACTAATGCCTGGTGGAAAAGCACTTCCATTAGGGAAAGGAGAAGCAGATGGGTCATGGCAGGCAGCACATAAACCCCCGTGCAGGGGCTGCCAGGGACACAACAACGGGAAGGGCTGGGAGAGCGTCCACCGGCCGGGGACGGCAGTGCCAGCTGGGAATGCTCCTGCACTCGGGAGTTTGGGAAGCACACGCTCCATGGGGGCACAGGAGAGGCACAGACACCAGCACAGGCCAGGCCAGGATGCGCAGGGAGAGGCAGAGCAAAGGTTTTATCCGACTGGAAATCAAGTTAATTCCAAACCCGATAAATTTTGCCCCGTTTTTCTCACAGAAATTCCACTGGTGGCTTTAAATGCACGTGTAATAATCTCACTCACAGGCACGAAACTTGCTGCAGTTCACAAATACCAACCAACAGTATTTACTGACTACAGGAGTAATTTAATACACGGAGTATCTGTTACATAAACAGATCATCATTCACATATAAGTGTTTCCACTATACTGTAAATTAAACATGATGAAACATTTGACCAGATATATAGACAACCATTCCTCCAAGTATCTCCAAATAGTCATCTTATTTTTCTTACATTCAAAGGCATAATTATAAAAGAACACTTAGTGATAATTCCAGGCAAAACATAATACAAGAAACAATTACTGACCTGATAGTAAGTTTTGATTTGTTTCACCAAAATAGACAAATTTTGAATCCTTAATGAGGCATCATTGTTGACTTTTTTGTTTATCCTCTGATTGGCAGACTTTGGATTGCTGCAAGAGAAAACAGGGACAAAAGAGAATAAATGGAACACACTGAAAATTATCTTGAAACTCTCTCTGTGAAGCAAAAGGTACAGTTCATGTGCCCCACTGACAAACTATAAAATGTTGGTTTGCTACCATGAGGCACAAGCAGCAATGTAATGTGGGGCTTTTAGAACGATGCTGAGTGTGAAATACATCATGCTAAATTAGTTTACATATATTTACAGATGATTGAGATCTGTCCACAATGGGGTTATTTTGTCATGCGTTATCACATACTACCAGAGTTTGCTCTGGCATCAGAGAGGAAATCAATCCCTTGTTCCTTCCCAAAGCAGAAAGGATCTGAGGAAATGCAGATGAGTCCCCCTTTTTCAACCCCTCAGGACACCTGGAGTTATTAACACACACAGGACAGTGTGACAACCACTCCTTGGGATCTTCCATGGCAAACAATGCCCAGTCCAAGCACTCCCCCTCAACTCTCTCCTCAAGCTTCAAACAATCCCTGAGGGGTGGCCAAAGTGGAGTTTCCCCTACAAAGACACTCAACTTTGGCTGTTTAATGGCATTATTGTACAGTTTAATGACATTATCAGCAGCTAAAGGAGCAGCTGGCTGGGCTGCTGCACCCCAACCAGCAACCACCAACCTCCCCCTGGCAGAGAGAGGGGCTGGGTTGGGCTCAGTCAGCACTGCCAGGCAGGAGTCACACTCTGGGACACAGAACACGCTGCCCAGAACCGCCACTGGCAAAGGTTGGGAGAAGGAAAAACCCCAAACCCCAACAAACAAACAGAAAACCCCCCGTCAAAAAACACTGGGGCAACGGAGAATGATGTGGAGTGTCAAAGTGTAATGGAATTCAACAACCCACTCACAGGCAAAGGAATCAAACACAGCAAGAGGAGTCATCTCATCTGTTCTAACATTTGCTACAACACAAAAATGACCTGAATATTGCAGTCTCATGACCTACTCTGAGGCACTTCATCACTCCCACTGGTGGATCTGTCACTACAGACCAAATCTGCCACTTAAATTTGAGTTACCTGAACCAAACTTTTTATTTGCCTTTTGCAGCTTGCTGAGCTTCTGGCCCACCAGAGTTTTTAAAGGATATATTGATGCCTTCTCTTCAGTTTTTTTGCTCTCAGCGTTTCCTGGTTTGTGAGGACAAATAGCAATCATAGGAAAAACAGTGCTGGGAAAGGAAGTGGGGTGATGTAGAAAATGCACTGCCAACACACAGCCATTTAGGAAAGAGAAGCAGTAAGCACAGTATCTTTTTTTTTTTTTTTTTTTTGTATATGTGAACATAAATCCAGGGAAATTAGGACATGGGTAATTGCCTCATTCCCAAATGCTCATCACCACCATCCTAAAAATACTATAAACAATTAAAAGTACATCTGAGAGTACGTCAGCCAAAACTGTGGGACTGAGATGTCACCTTGGATTTCTTGGTTCAGCCCAACCTGTGGCTGCACGAGGAACTAAAGGGGCTAAAAATAACCCCTCTTTGCAGCTGCACAGAACTGAACTCCTTTCCACGCTGAATTCATTCAGATTTGTCCAAATCAAAGAGAAAATCCACGATAAATCCTGCTGACCTACAGAGATCAGCTGAAGTCTCCTATTTCTACATTCATATCTCCAAAAGGCCGATTTGGGCCTTTAATCTTCATGTTTAATCTTAATGACCACGGGATTATCTCTGGGCTTTTTCATCATCTTCAGCAGCGTTTCTGCAGCCACACATTGGAGAGGACTGTCCCTTCAGAGCACTCAAAGCAGAGGGCACTGGAGTTTCCTGGATATTGTAACAGCTCTTATTTTGGGCACCAACACAAAACTCAGTGTGCAACCACAAGAATTCAGGACACAAATGTCACCAAAGCCCAGGCTTTGCATCTTCCCGTTCCAGAAGCTGTACTGGAATATTTGGACTGATCTAGGCAGAAGGCATTCAACTTTTTCTTTTTTTTCCTTTTTTTGGCATGAATTGCAGGAAACTGTTTACTGAGACTGTGAATTTTTGCTGGGAGAACGTGGGCCACAGATGTGCTCTGGAACTGTATCTTTACCAAAGTCACAGTCCAGGTTATCTGATGCTCTGCTAGAGCAGATGATCAACCATTGCAACCAGAGTGTCAGTCCCAGGACAACCTGGAGCACAGACCACATTTATTATAACAACTTTAAATTTTTCCTAAATATTATGGCAACAGGCAACAGAACCCCCAAACTCCGAATTTCCTTAACACTTTTCAGCAGAACTTTGAAACAGGTAATGGTAACAAGAAGTTGAACCCACAGCTTTTGAGGATCAATAAAACCAAGGTGCTTGGGTATCAGTAACACCACTGATCTCTGCCAATCATTTCTAATTGAATTAAACTTGTACCCTCAGGAGCTCACGACAGGCAGCAGATTTCTTGGTAATTTTTTTCAGAGAATGTTGTATTGTCTCATTACTCTTCACACAAGGGAGGTGAGTCGTCTTCACCACTCCCAGTTAACACGTTAGCCATGACCAGGATGAGTGACCTGGCAAGAAAATTGCTTCTAGTGTTTCCCACAGTGAAATGCTGCTCTCAGTACCGTCAGCGCAGACCTCAGTGCTACAGCAGTTCAGACCTTTCTAACCACATCATGTCACCAAATGATTACAAACACAGCCTATCCACAGGCTGCCTGCTCCAGTGTGCAACTGTGCTCCTGCTGAAATGCAAATATTTCCCAGAGGGGCCACCTGGCAGAGGAACCCCTCAGTGTTTGTAATTACCAGGGTGCCCTGGTCTGCAGCCACGGATCAGGGCAGAACTGTCACCTTGCTGCAGGAACAGCCAAGCCCAGGTCTGACAGATCCCTTCTCACCCCAAAAGGATCCACATTAGCTCCTTGAACAGGAGATTCCTTATTTCAAAAAGAAATAAAAAAGGCCACCTTCACTCCCAGGACTGACAACCAGGCCTCATCTGCTCCGAGGCTCCAAATATAAAGCTCAACAGTCTCCTTAATCCACACACCAGCCTTTAAATATTCTTCACTTAGCCAATACAGCCTATCACCTTAAAGCACTGATATTTTAATCTGTCCCTCTCCAAGAGGAGATACTACAGCATGATGTTGGCTCCACATTTTCCATTATGCATTGTTTGTAGAATTGTTATTTTGCCAGACTGGTCCAAGCCAGGACACACTGTTTTTCTTACCCTGCATTTGAAATAACTAATGGCACACGAGGTGCAACTGTTTTCCATGCACAAAGATAAAAATCTAAACATAAACTACGCAAACCTGTATTGCTTAAAAGAGCAGCTATAAACTAGCTTACGTTTTTCAAAAATGCATTAAAGATTTTAATAGATTACTGCTATTCGTATGTTGAATTGTTTAATTTTTATGACCAATAAAATGCTTGTAACAATTACATTTTTTTTAAATGCAAACCAGCTCTCTTAATTAGAATACAGTTGGTCCAGTCCCACTGAAATGAACTGGTACAGGCTGTCAGGAATACAGCAGGCAAACAAAACCCTCTGGAATATAAACTGGTTCCCAAACCCAAACCCCATTTTAAGCGACACGGTTTTAACCAGCTGGTTTTACAGCTGAGATTCTGGTGGCCACCACAGCCCTGTGGAAGGCCATGCATGCTCTGAACTGCTCCCTTCCTGAGGTGCAGACACTGCAGTGCTGCAGTGGCAAACAGCCCGGCAAAATAGGGCAAATGTGCGCACGAGTCGATAGCAAGCAGAGCGGGAAAAGATCCCCTTCAGCAATCCTACATTTAAGAGCAACCTACTTCTGACAAGAGACATTAATTTCAGCGGCAGGAACAGCAGACAGGAGCAGCCCTCCCAAACGTGCATGAGTTCAGAACTCCTGCTTACAGGGGGAACTTGGGGTGGTTTTGAAATACTACCAGTGTCATGAATCACAGATTGAGACTTCATATAATTGGGGATTACGTGTCTTTAATTTTTCATTGACCAAAATCTATCAGAAATGGGAATGTGATAGCTTAATGGCTTCGTGCTTAAATCTATGCAGACTGCAAACCAGTTGTGTCCTCTCCTGCCATCTGTTCCTTGATGGTACTTAATGATGAAGTCTGGTACCGCAACGCACCCTAATTTTAAATATTCCATTGTTTGGATGGATCTGGGGAGTGCAGTGAAATGCTGCAATAGTGAACATCTCAAAGAGTAATAAATATTGACCGGTACTCTGTGGTTTGGCATCCACTGGCACAGCATTCACTCATACAAATAGATGCTGCTCGCTTACTAAAGTTGTATTTCTGACAAAGTCCTTTTAACCGGAATGCTGAGGCTCACTCTTGCTATCTTCCCAATATTTCACTAATAACAGAATTTCTTGATAGATTTCAAATAATAAAGCAGCCTTTCCAATATTACCATTGGCAAGAAAATAATGTTTTACAAAGAGATTTAATAGAGCAGCGTCCTTTTACTGCCAAAGCAGTACAAAAGTCAAAATAAAACTGGGGCCTTCGAGGGAGAATAAGTGATACTCTTTAATCGCTCAGACATTCAAAGCAACACCAGACAAAGTGGCACATTGAGGCAGTGAAGTGATCAGAAGCATGTGGGACTAAAGGAGCACTGGCCTTCACCAGCTGATTGTTTGATCAGCGTAAAATCAGCAATTTGGGTGAGTCTGCAGGGATGACAGTGCTAAGGAACGGGGTAGATTCTGAATTTACCATGTTATCAGTGTCACACACGTCCTAGAAAGGTTGGGACGAGATGCCATCCTTCCAACTCCTCCTGTATCCACCTTCCCTACAGAATAATTCCTCACACAGACTGTCCACAGAGGCAATAAAATCCTTGTCCCTCCTGAAGAGCACCATGCAAGATGTGCCAGCCCTGAGGCTGCAGGGTGTGGATGACACTGGACACGATGCCCACAGGTATTGCCCCGTGCACACCTGATGAGGATGTTACACTCCAGAAACGCTCAAGGATTCACTT